TAGTGTGTAGCACTTCTTGATTTTTTTGCAAAGGCACGAGAAGCACGAGAATTGATGAAAAATTGTGAGTTAAATCTCTATGTATCACGCGATGGCCTGTCTCACTGTACCAAAATTATCAGATCTCGGTGAGCATTCGGAAGTCAGCCAAGCGCGGTCATTGCACGCGTGCTGAACAAGAATGCTGTATAATGACAGACTAGAAACAATAGACAACTCCCAAAGCACAAACTCAGCCAAAACGCTAAAAATCTTCAATGTTTACTCAAGTTTGGGCTTCTGGAAGATAATGTCACAGTTTTTCAATGACCATGAAATTCAGAGTCCGGGTAGTTAGTTAATCAATTGTGGCCCTGAAAAAATTTGAAGGAAAAAGAACTACGAATTTTTAAGAAAATGCTTTTTTCGTGAGAAAGACTCTTAAACGCTGACAAACGTCAACAAATAGCGAAAACTGTAATTTCTATATGTTTGCTTTGCTCGAAATAGCGCGCATTTATAAGGCCCTAAAGCGTTTTGCTGACTTGCAAGGACCCATCTGTTATAACGATGCCCAAAATAAAGAGATGAATCTCATAGTTTATTAGATATAATCGGCGTGTAAAGTTTGCTTATCATTTTCACATAAATTATGACCTAAATTTGGAAACCGATGAATTTCTCGAATTGGGTCTTTGCGATTTTGGTGAAACTCTGTTCAGCACAAGGCACTAATGCGCACTATGTGTAGCCGAGAGATTTTCACGAAAAAATGCCGGCAACAGCAGATTTTCGACTCAGACCTGAAAGGGGCGTGGCATTTTAACCACGTGACATTTACTCCGATCGCCAAAAATTTTATGTTATATTGTAGATTGATCTATATGTTATCCATTCTATGTGTTAGACTTACGATAAAAGTAAAGGTGAGGATACCAGAGAGCTTCAAAGTAGGATGGTACCCCCCCCAAAAAACTGGGTCGAGTCACCTTAAGTCGCCATAATTTTTTCCCAGAGGTTCTCGTGGTAATGTAAAACTTAGAATTAAAAAAATAAACAGTTTTACTTATTATAGGAAATTAACGCTCCATGAAATTAACGCGAATCGTTAAAATTAGCGTTAATTTAAAGGAGCTTTGTCACGAAATTCAGCCAAATCAGGTTATTGCAAAATGCCCGTTAAATTAAAAGTAACGTAAAAATAACCACTTAAAACATTAAAGGAAGGTTAAAATAACACAACAGATACAACAGCTGCCTCGGATGGGCAAAACTGAAGAAGATTGAAACAGATTGAAATTAGGGTTTTTGAAAACTGTTCAGCCTAACAGTTTTTCAAAGTTTATCTCTGCTGTTTGCAGCTTCAAAAGTAATGCTTAGGGGACATATTTGTTTGTCTCTAATCTCTGATTTTGTTATTTACAGGTAATTTCTTTGCCTGCTTTAAGTTCCATAGCAATTCGGGGCAAGTAATTGGCAAACTAAAACAAAATGAACTGGACTGCCGTGACACAGCCCTTCTAAGTCGCGTTAATTTTGTTGAGCGTTAATTTCTGCGACCTTAATTAAGGTGGCTCGACTGGATTTTTTGGGGTTGATACCTTCCAACTTTGAGCATTAACTACGTCGGCATGAGTAAAGATATGGAAAAAAAGGTTACCACAACTGTATTATATAAAGATGAAAATTTCTTTTGATCTGGGTTTTATTGCAATCGGAGTCGCCATGGCAACGTAATGACGTAATAACGTTTTTCATGTATCTTTGTGTTTCTCTGTTCCAGGAGTTTTTTCAAGAAATCGCTTAAGGGAGTATGTACCTGCTATAATTGCCTCCATTATGGTAAAGTTTGAACAAATTCTATGAGAGCGTTTTCGAAATATTTTGAAATGTAGTTTTAAGAATGATAAAAACAGTGAAATAGCATGCTACCTACACAATTCGCTAATATTTTAAGAAAATGATAAGCTTTGGGAACGAGGCTTCATCTCATAGTGGTTTGACTCCATTGAAAACTGCATACGAAAAAAGAGGGGAATTGCTCTGGGCGATCGCGAGTAAGAAGAATTTTATTAACTTGCATTTAGCTGCTTTTGATACAGTTTTTGGACGTAATTTGGTCCATCCCTAAAAGTTTCGCATTTTTCCAAAAACCGCTCGATAACTTTTTTTATAAATTCGACAATCCCAAGATCAATTGTCAAGAAATATTCCCTGCAAGTTTTAAGAACATTGAAAACATGGAACGCTTTTAAATAGGGCCTCAAATATAACCAATTTTCCCCCTAGATTTTGTGTTTACAAGTGAGCGTCCTCATTATTCACTGGCATTGTTTTCAAGTTTCATATACACGTGCACATTTAGCAAAAAGATAGAATTTGCATCAAAAAGGACCCTCGGTTAAATCTTCGGGATATGCTAATTACCGGGTAAAGAGATTGATGATACATTATAACATCAGAGCAACTCTTTGTGATAGTTTCTGTGATGTTATAACCCGAGTAAGATAATTAAGTATTCCATCCTACGCGATGAGCCGTGATGTTCACCGTTTCGGCTCTCACTGCTATCTGTGACGACAAGCCACTATTAGCATATTCCTGATATTTCTTCGGAAAGTAATCGAGGGTTCTTTTTTATGCAAATTTATATCTTTTGCTGGTTGTGCACGTGCATATGAAACTTGAAAACAATGCCAGTGAATAATGAGGACGCTCGCTTGTAAACACAAAATCTGGGGGGGAAATTGGTTATATTTGAGGCCCCATTTAAAAGCCTTCCCTATTTTCAATGTTCTTGAAACTTGCAGGGAATATTTCTTGAAGATTGATCTCGGGATTGTCGAATTTATAAAAAAATTTATCGAGCGGTTTTTGGAAAAATGCGAAATTCTTAGGCATGGACCAAATTACGTCCAAAAACTGTATCAAAAGCAGCTAAATGCAAGTTAATAAAATTCTTCTTACTCGCGATCGCCCAGAGCAATTCCCCTCTTTTTTCGTATGCAGTTTTCAATGGAGTCAAACCACTATGAGATGAAGCCTCGTTCCCAAAGCGTATCATTTTCTTAAAATATTAGCGAATTGTGTAGGTAGCATGCTATTTCACTGTTTTTATCATTCTTAAAACTACATTTCAAAATATTTCGAAAACGCTCTCATAGAATTTGTTCAAACTTTACCATAATGGAGGCAATTATAGCAGGTACATACTCCCTTAAGCGATTTCTTGAAAAAACTCCTGGAACAGAGAAACACAAAGATACATGAAAAACGTAATTACGTCATTACGTTGCCATGGCGACTCCGATTGCAATAAAACCCAGATCAAAAGAAATTTTCATCTTTATATAATACAGTTGTGGTAACCTTTTTTTCCATATCTTTACTCATGCCGACGTAGTTAATGCTCAAAGTTGGAAGGTATCAACCCCAAAAAATCCAGTCGAGCCACCTTAAGTGCAGCGATAATTTCTGCGCTCTTAATTTCCAATATTTTAACTCCAATTTTGGAGTCTGTCCAGTTCTTGACACCTAAAAAACATTACCTTCAAGCTTTCTTTCTTTCCATTTACCCTTTATTTTTCATCTTTCACAAAAGCTAAGTCGAAGGTTTACATTTGTTAAATTTTTTTCCAGTTTTCACCACCAATTGTCTCTTAATCGCGTTAATTTATTTTATTATGAAATTCTACATCCTCTTTCGCGTTAATTTTCTTTATTCGAAAGTCGTTTTCCATTAAATTCGCGTTAATTTAAGTCGCGTTAATTTCCAATACCTTAATTTCATTGAGCGTTAATTTCCTATAATAAGGTAGGTTATGGGCACGTCAAGAAACTAGCAATACTAGCACTTTGGTTTCACTTTGACTGGGGTAGTTGAAATTCACCTTCTTTATTGGACAGGCATTTGAGTGATTCGTTTCGCAGGGGTGAACCCTTGATTAAATAGAGAAAGTCGAATCTTAGGTGTCGGTTTTAAGAGTACTTTATTTTGTTGCAGGCAAATATGATTAATACGTTTGGCAGAATCTCATCAATTATCCACAGCTTAAAGTACGTTACCACTTACTATATATACTAAATCAAATCACTAGTCAAAAATAAATACGATTACATCCATCTTTAATTTATTTCGTATAGTTGGAACTAAACATCCTTTGTTACCTTCTTTGGAAGTACCTTGTTTCAAAAGGGAATCATCTTCTTAGCGTTATTTTGCACAGTGAGAAAGCTGTGGCGAGTTTAAACAGCGCTTAGTTGCTCTCTTTCCTGTATTCTTTGGCGCTCCATGAGTGCGCACGGCGGGGAACGAGGGTGAAGCCCCTACCTTCCTTTATCAATACAACCATGTGCATAAATTATATCAATTAATATAATTTTGTACATAAATTAAATTAATTACTATAATTATGTACATAAATTATACATGTTCTCACTAAAGAAGAGAAGGACCATCTGCTCACATTCTGGACGACAACCTCTGTAAGTCGAATTCAGACTCCTGGCCATGCCGAGATGATCTTTTTTTTTTTTTTCAGTTCTGTTTGTCGGTGTAAAATGACAAGGCGTCCTTCCATGCACTCGCTTCGCCAGGATTTACCGCTTTTAGGTTCCAATCTCTCTCATCGGATTTCACGATGATGATACAGGAGTCATTTTGATCGATTTCTACTGGACACCCTCTTAAATAGATCGAGTTAATCGGTTTCCCGCCGTCGGGTTTCTTGTAGTAGTACAGATATCCCGTTTCTGTCAGCTCAAAGTATCTGTTGTCCCATTTTGGAGCTTTATGTTTGCCTCCGCTGAGTTTATCTAAGAAGCCTTGTTTTGTCGGCTTGGGACCAGCTCGCACTGGTGGTTTTGGTGGGGACTTGATGCTGAGCTGAAAAATACATTTTTTGACGAATTCCTTTTAATAATTGCTCTTTTTAGGTCGTCCATCTTCAAGAAGCCTTCTCAAACTCATCAACAATTCATAAAGACATTGGAAATCAGATGAAAAACTGCTCATTTTTGCATCCTTAATTTCTCCTTCTGAAATCATTGTGTTTGAGAAGTAATAGGCTGATTTAGCAACAGGACGGGAACTTCAGTTGACGACAGGAAGGCGCGCGGAAAGGACTAAACACGACTTCCGGTGCCCAATTTGCTGCTCTGCCATTGGTCAAGCCAGTTGTTTGATTTGCGCGCGCCGTCGTCAACTGACGATCCCGTTCTGCTGCTAAATCAGCCTATTAAGCATGTGACGCAGTGTCTCATCACCAGATGAAACACCTCGAAGTTCGTCCAAAATAGTCTGCTGCGCGTCGTATTTTCAACTCTCTTCTCAGTGTTCTATCCGGTGATGAAACACTACGTCTCATGCTCGATATGTTACATCTACGACTCACAATGTAGGACCACCTTGTGCAGTATAATAGACAGAACCACAGGCAATAACTGCTGTTTAGGATTTTAATCACAGGTTCATAGCTGACAACTACCTTGTCCGGCATAGTCAACGGTACTACAGGAAATGCACTATTTCGAGCATAGCTTTCAGTTAAAGTAAGAAAGGAACTAACTGGTAGTATTTACTGCAATGTACATTCAGTCTGCAGGCTCGAATGACAGCAACATTTCAAAACAAAGGATAGTCCACAAAAATGTTGATAAGTCATTTTTAGCGAAAGTGGTGTTGTTAACCTGCTATCTTAAGTTTGAGCCGAAAACAGAAAATTTTTATACCTGTTTGTGAATAACTGGAGGCGGTCCATTTGCTTTGGCCTCAACTTTGCTTGGCTTTAAATCCAGTATCACATTCCTATTCCTTTCAGAAGCCTTAAAACAAGGATATATATAAGTATAGTCAACTCCCTTTATAGCGGACACCGTAAGGACCTTGAAGTAGTGTCCTCATTAGCGAGAGTCCGTAATAGCGGGAGATTATTTCAGTCAGACGTCTGTATTTTATTTTTGCATGGGATTAAGCTGCTGTCCGTATTATCGGGTGTCCGCAAGGCTAGAGTTGACTATATGTGAAACTGTTTTCTTGATGAATACAGTCGACTCTCGCCTTGTGGACACTCCGAAAACAAATTACAGATGATTGTTTGACTGAAATAATATCCCGCTATTACGGACTCTCGCTAATAAGGACACTAACTCAAGGTCCCTACAGTGTCCGCTTTAAAGGGAGTTGGCTGCATGAAGAGTTTGCTGTCAGTTTAAGAGAGTTTAAAGCGTTGGTGAATGTAGCCTTGTAAAGTACCAGCCCTCGGCTCTGGTAGGTTAGCATAGAGTAGAGTGTTTTTCTCTAACCTGTTGGTTCCAGTTTGTTTTGCCCGCATCAACGTCGTCCCGATCACTGATGGTCGATGATAGAGAATCCACAGTAGATACAGAAATAGAATCCTTGCAAAGAAACAACAACAAAAAAATCAAGAAATAAGTAAAAGCTTTCATTTCTACCACTGAAGTGCGTTAAGAAAAATGAACCAACCTCTGCTGGCTTCTGTCTTTTCTCAACAGCTTCCCTGTAAAATAACAACAGAAAACAATCTTAACATTACTGTGACTAATCTAGGCTAGTCAAACCTTTATAGAACGTTTTTCCATCGCGGTCGAATAACTGTTCCGTCTCGGTAAAATATACCGTACAACAGGCCACTGCCGAGTTCCAAATGCTATCACTTTCAAAACGAGGCAAAGTGCAAAACCTTTCTTGTGAAAAGGATTTTTATTTGCATGAGAACAAAAAATCATTTTGATATCCTTCATCGACCAAATTTAACCCGGCAACGATGGACGTCACGGAATTCGCGTCGTTTGTGACCACGGCGGTGGGCCCGCGGCAGACTAGTCAACCTCGCAACCCGGAGGTGCTGGGTTTGAGGACCGCTCTGGTGGTTAACTCCGTTTTCTTTCTTCGCGCTTATTTTACCCGACTCAACTTCCCGGCTATTCTTTCTAAAAAAAGGCCCAAACGTTCTCGATACATTTTTACACGTTTTGTATAACCACTCAAATTATTTCCTTTATTTTACTAAGTGCTACGATAATCGAGAACTTAAAAGTTCAATTGTCAAGTATTCTAGTCAAGTCATGCTTTGGAACTTTTGTTTGTTTGGGGATCATTGGAAATAGGTAGCAAGCCGCAATATACAGGGCCCGGTTGTTCAAAGCTTGGTTAAGATAGCCAGGATTAGTGCCAAATTTGAATTCAGATATGAAAGCTGAAAGAGCAAATTCAGTTCAATCCTTTTTGTCTACAATTTAATGACTGGACGCTCCAAAAACTAAGGAAAAGTTTATCCAAGAAAATTCTTTTAAACAAAAGAGAGAGGAACCCAGGTTAAAATTTAACCCCGGGTTAACGCTAATCGACCTTCGAACAACTGGGGCCAGGTTTGTTTGAGTCTCCTCGGCTGTAGCTCAGTGCACCAGTAACCAGCAGGGTTCTATCTAGGATTTATCGTTTGGGTGAGAAGTCCCGAGTGGCTGAAGGCCACGAGCTTCCTAGGGAAGTCCGGGGGCATGCCCCCCGGAAATTTTTGAAATGAAGATGCGCTGAGATGCAATCTGGTGCATTGTGAGACACAGTGTGAGCACTGACCTCGTCGCGTCTGGATGATTTTTCCGATATAGTTACTTTTAGTAAAATCCAACTAGTGGTCTATTATCAATGCTGCGTTCTGATTGGTTGAGCTACTACTAGGCTATGTGTTATAGCCCACTAGTAGCGAAAAGCGCCGGCTTTTTGGCGGCAAAAAAGGATTAAAGTCTAGCTTTCAGCAACTAAAATATTTTTATTCTCGATATTTTTGACCAACTAGTTGGACTTTACTAAAACAATTATTCCTCTCGCCCTCACGGCCTCTGAGTCAATAGCCCATGCTATTGTCTCAGAGCCCATTCGGGCTCGAGGAATAATTGTTAAACATACTGTAATGATAACAATATTTTGGGGGGTAAGCTTCTACCCCTCAAATATCCTAGACAGCACCCTGACCAGCAGCTTGAGGTCACAGGTTCGATTCCCGTTGAGAAAACTCGACGGATTTTTTTCGGAGTCACTGACTGAAGAATCATCATTCTCAAATGTTACGAAATTCTAAAGTAGGGGAGAGAATGAGTGATGTGATGGATAAGGAATCAACTCCTACCTGTAGCATTTTCCTTCTTGGGCCTCAAATATAACATTATTTTATATCTAGACGAAAATGAGCACCTTAGGAGTGGCCCACAATTTTTAGGTGACCCGAACCTATTTTTATGCTTGTTGGTTATGTTTTTGACTCGCGTTTTTCAGCAGCAACGATTTGCCCGATTTCTATGATTTTTTGCATCCAAAATAAAGAATGGTGGAACTTTAAGCAAATGTTATTTATTTTCTTGTAGTTCAGGAGTTGGTGGCTTTATTTCTTTTCAAAACGCGAACTTACAACGCTAAAAACTCTTGTGAGTTTTTCGTAGATGTTATATTTTGCTTTGTTAAGATTTATTTCGAAAGGAAATGCACAAATACTAAGTAAATTAGATGAATAGAAGTTCTCTGTTCTCACCCCGATTTCAGCATTAAGTAGTTCTTCTTGTAATGCTAACTATATTCGCCGTAGGTTTCTGATTACTTAGATTCTTGCAATGAAGCTTTGGGTAAGAATACCCTTTCACATAGGAGATAGTCCGCCGACACTCTTCCACTATTTGTGAGCCAACTTTCACAAATGTGTTAGCTGTATGGTGTTAGCTGTACGAAGACCTCAAACTTGCAGATATAAAACTTAAGAACATCATGGCGCCGAATTTTTTAAAGTCAGAGGAAAATCTGTCGTGGGATATTACATTTTCTGTAAAAATGCGGTTTTAATTATATGCCGATGACTCAAAGGTTTTTTTACCTACAAGAAAATATTAAATAATATTTTCTTAAATTCTTTATTGCGGATACCAAAAATCATAGAAATCTTTTACATCGTTCCTGCTAAAAAACTCGATTAAAAAAAACATAACGACACGCATAAAAATAGGTTCGGGCCACATTAATAATTAATTGCACCTTATAACTGAGGTGATCCCGAGTACCTTTTACGATAACTTACTTGAGCCCCTCTAGTTTGAAGCCCTTGTTGCGTTTGCTCCCCTGTTGTGTTTCTTTCATGGCTTTTCTGAACTGACCGATGAAGGTGCTGATAGCACCAAAGAGCTCCTCAGAATCACTGCTCTGTGGTTCACCAAAAGACACCTACAAACACACAAGCAAAATATTTCAAGTGAATCGATCGCACAGTTTGGAAAATAAAGGCGATTCTAGTTGTCCAAATGTGTAAACCAAATCCTGGGAGTTTAAAAAAATTGCCAGTAAATAATCGCGAAGTTGTCATAGTCGTAATAGATAACAACCGTTTCGTTTTGCGTAACCATATCAATCATATCTTGATACCCTTCCAGGCCAATTAAACCTGTATTAGTCAGCTAATCCGTCATAGAAAGTGAACATTAAAAGACAGTCTTTTCAAAGGTTTTGCGTGATGAAACTCAAAATTATTTATAAAACTAGATCTTTATAATATTTAGTTCCTTATAGGACACTGGTTATGGTGCGGTAGTTTATCTTTAGAAGAGCTGCATGATGTTGCACAATTCTTTGATTTTTGTTCACACATTGTGCTGGGATAAGTTAGGGCGACATTTTCATTGGCCGGTAAGATCAAAATGATAGGAGCGCTATTGACAGTTTTGCAGTGTCAAGACCACCAAAACAAGTAAAAAGGGAATCTGACGGGTTTTATAACCATTCCACCTCATTAACTATGCTCCTTACCAAAACTTTGTTATAAATCTGCTTCATTTGTTTGCATTTGTCACACAAATCGTTCAGCTTCTCCTCATATTCAGTGACAAAAGTCTGTGTTATTAGTTAAAGAACTATGACTCGATTTTCCCTTGAGCTGCCAGTGTTTAGTTGTTACTAGTTGACTTCACGGCAACAATGTAACAAACCTAGAGCCCTGCTATTGACTTTCGATTACGTAGGTCTGTAAAGATAACCCTTTGATGTTCCCGTGGTGTTGTTAACTTGGCTTCACAAAATGTTCAGAGAAAGGTGCGCACCACGATTGATCAGTGTTCAGTTTTATCTTTATAAAGCATGCTATCGACGACTCTCGCCTGTTTTATATATAAAAGCACGCAATCGTCGTCAACAAAACAAGCACACAATTCACGAGACATTTTAAACAAGAAATTTAAAAAATATTTCTCGCGTAACTTTGAACTGTAGAGAAGGTTAGAATACAAGAAGTGAATAAGCACTGGCCTGTGACTCATGCTAAATCAGCCGACACTTATGTGTGGTTGTACAACTCAACACTTTTGCCCTACCTTGTTTAGTTAAGGTTCTGGCTATACCTAACAACCTTTTGTCCTAATCAACTAAATAAAGGAGGAGTCTGTACTTTGTTGGAAAGTCCTAGGTTCATGAACAGTTAAAGTAATGGCGTAAGGATACTTCCACATCATTGTGCAGTTTGACATCCTGGGAATTTGTTTCACTCCGCTTCAAGAACAAGTCACTTGAATGTTTCTTTATTTTAAGCAAGTCCTTCTTCATCACTAAAAGAGAAAGTATACTTAACACATTTGTTGCCAAGATTTTGAGTAATACTGCTAGTCACTGAGATATTACTTGTGTCCTTTATGAACTAAACAGGCGAAGAGGACTAACAAGAAACGAAAACAACAACGCAAGAAAGCAACTGAAAAGTACAGAAATACTAGATACCTTCCACTTCAGCAAACAAAGCTTTTGATGAACCTGATAGGAAAGAGGAAAATAAATTCAGGCATCGCCCGTAAACATTTATTTGCAAGATCTTTTCATTTTTAGTTATGATTTTGCAATCAAAAGACAATACATTTCTCACATTCCAAAAAAATCAACAAAAGTTGTGAACTTACAGGCTGCCGCTTTAGGAACACTTTTCAATTCATCGGGAAAATTCAGCGCATCTGGACTGCACTGCTCAAGCTGAAGGATGAGGAACTTCAACAAAGTGTACCTCTTGTTATTTCCACGTATATCTGCCAACTGAAATAATTATCATTCTAATTTCAGAATTTATTAAATTCTTAACCGCGGATATTTCTTTTCGGCCTACATGGCGAACACAGTCAAACACAGGAATGGAACGCCATTTCTTTTAATAAGTGGTATCCCAGGGGTAACAGGTAGCAATGAGGCAGTCGTAATGTGCACAGTGGCACCCGGTTGATCCGGACACCAAGGGGATATGCCATAGTGTCCGCATTATCCGAGACTCTCAGAAAAAACGTCACGGACACAATCTTTATCGATGTAAAGATACCAAGGAGCAATGACGGAAAGCAGAAAACCTTATTAAACGACCACAGTATGAGGGCCAAACACCGGAAGATAAACAGACAGATGAAAATCCCGAAACATCAAACGCATTGAGGCAATACATAACGCGTTCCAAAAACTGTAGTTATTATTAAACACGTCACGATATTTCGCCACTGTTTTTAATTAATAAATCGTATTAATCTGTTGGAATCTTTCATTATTTGAACAGGATGCAATGTGTATCATTAACATACACTGAAAATAGACAGTGCGCAGAAACGCAGGCCAGTGTGTCCGTAAAGCGGGGTAGACGATATACAACAGATTGTGACTCGGGACACAGAAAAGTGTCCGTTGTCCGTATTAAGTAATGGTAACAGGACTGAGTGGAGTCCAATTCGGTCTGTAATCATACGAGTGATTAACAAAATCGGACGACCGCGTAGCGGGAGTCCGATTTTTTTAATCACGAGTATGATTACAGACCGAATTGGACGACACGAAGTTCTGTTACCAATTAATCATAACTTAAACAAAATTTGTGACATAATGGGCTATTTTTTAAATCAAAACACAAGAAATTCGAAATTTTGTTTGCTAGCAGTGCAGAAAAAAAAGCCATTTAAGCTCGCGCGTGATGGCGCGTACTGTTTAATTACTTAGGCATGACGGGTACTGTCCTATTAAACTGTCCAATTAAGGCTGAAATCAGGGCAGTTGATAGCCAATCAGATTTGACAATTTTGTTATAGTTATGATTAGCGGTTTAATTTTACAGAAAAGGTATGTGCTTTTTGTTTGATAGCCTAAATTTCAGCCGTCCCCTCAAGTCGCATGTTCCCGACTCGAGGGAACGGCTGAAATTTAGGCCATTCGTTAGGACAAACAAAACTGTCCGTTATATATGGGTGTCCCTATCAAGGGAGTGTCCGTAGAGCGGGGTTTCACTGTACTGCACACGTTACCTTTGGTAGTGAATGCAGCCTGAATCCATAAGCAGCTCCTCTGTTGCTTCCGGAGTTCAGAATGTTACCGATGGACAAGACGTACTCAAGCACAAGCAAGAAATTCTTGCTGTTGTTTAGTTCCTGGCAGGCTTGTAGTAAGTTGTTTACATTCTGAAAACAAAGTTATGATACGAATCAAATTAAATTTTGTTAAACACTTAAGAATAAAGATAAGCGAAAAAAAGGTTTAACAGAACGTTTCGATGTCGCCATGACATCATTATCAAGTAAAGATAAAAACTAAAAGCTGACCTGATATATACGGCGACATCAAAACATTGTGTTAAACTTTTTTCAGTTACCTTTATTCAAAAAAGTTAAGATAATTGTGGATTTATTCATAAATAAACTCGTAAGTGCGTCATTTTTAAAAGTTATACTGACAATAAACGAGTTCTAATTTTAATGACATCTGGAATGGTAAGTCCAGGGACAAATTACAGTAATCCGCACGTCAGACCTAACGGAAGGAAAGTTAGAGCTTGACTGGGCTGAACGTCAGATGTTGGTAGTTACGTCCGACGTTAAGCACCCCGTGAGCAGAGCCTCCTGTTGTGTTCTTAAGTGATGCGGAAAAAAGAAGGCTCTGCACGATTCGCGTAAAACCTTTGAAGTCGCCGAAGTCCGAACTTCTTGACCGGTCAATCTTGTTTTCTTTCGTCAAACTGGTTTTTTACAGTGCGAGCATCCGTTACTGAGCCCGCTGTACCGCTGTACCGGCTATTAGGCCTGGTATCGAAACTGTATCCTAGCGACAAGTAGCAAATGCTCAACAAAGGAACTTACCACATTCATGCAGGGGAAGTGAAATAAAGGCTCTTCTACAGAACAGGGTGGACGTTAGGAGAATGCAACTGGTCCTGTACCCCGGCCAATGTACAGCAACACCCCTCCCCAGAAGAAAGAAAAACAAATTGGAGGGGAGGGCTACAGTAACCAAGCCCATGTTTATCGGCGGTGCTGAAATCTTTACAGCTGTTATTGAAAACGCGTTAGACAAAATGACAAATATAAGAGTTTTCAAGCATTCTCCGGGTTTCAAAGCTTTATTTTTCCACTCTCTTACCACCAAGACGGCTCACCTAAAGAACGTTTTCAATTACGCTAGAATTTGCCAAAAATTCCATCGGAATGTTTCCTCCTCGCCCTTTCAAAAATGCTGTTGCCTAGACTGGTGTGTACAGTGGAACCTAGACCATAACGCATCCCTTTGTACTGAATGTTACTACTTCACTTTAACTTACTTTTTCCATATCAGGAAAGGAGACTAACAAAATATGCCACAGTATTACAGAATAAAATTCTGCGTCTGTGCCTGTCTACCAAAACACCAAAAAAGTGAATTTACCCTTTGCCCCATTTGTACATTCGTTGCAGCGAATACATTGCCCTGGCCTTCTAATCTCGTTGTCTCGTCACGGAGCGCTCCTCCTTTTCTTGGGAAGGAGCGTTGTGTGACAAGAAAAATTCGTCGCCAGGTAATTCGTTATATCGGGATTCCACTGTGGTTCCAAAAATCTAGTGACAAACCGGAAGTCGCGTTTCAACTTACCGGTGCAAGGTCTTCGAATTGGCCCGGAAACTCCATGACGACCAAAAGTAGATCCAGTCTTTTCTCTAGGTCTTTTATCTCACAAAGCTGATAAACAAAACGAATTAAATGAAAAAGGATCACTAGTGTTGCCATTAAAATAACAGGGTCACATAACGACGGTTTCCTCCTAAATACATAGAAAACACTGTTTGGCTAACCAGAGTACTTGTAGATCTCTAGAAATGCATTCTGAGTGGCGCTATAAAATTTGTATCTGTTCGGTCATCCTAGGGAAACTTGAGTCTTTTCGAAATTACGAGAGCTCAGTATTATTTTCCCGAAAATTTTCCATGCAATTTAACTTAATGCAAAGGTGAGAATTTTTCTGATTCCTCTCTCCATCACATTTTTAAATTCGAAAATTTTAGGTTTCCTTTTTTGTACGAAAGATAGCCTAACCTGGGCAGTGAAATGTGAAAAATTAAACTTCAGAAAATCGTAGGGAATCCATTAGATAAGCTTCGAACATTGAACATGAATGGAACAGTCCTCCAGAAATATTTAGCCGTCCTCAAGAAAAAAAAATGCAAGGTAATATTTGCTTCTTCGAACCGGCATTTTACAGAAAACAGTCGCTGAGTGGTCCTGAAATAAGGGCACCAACTCGTTTCTGGGGTTTTCCTCCCTCCTTGGAATATATAGCCCTTGCGAACGCAGTCACTAATGTAACTGTACCTTCATCATAAATTGGTCTTCTGGTACCAAACTGCTAGGGTCATCTTTGTAGTTCTTGTACATCTCAGCCTCTTCAGTCGATGGCAGAAATCTGTTGATTGTAGACAAACGTCGTGAAGATATATCTACACCAACGTAAACCATAGTTTCACTTCTTCCTTCTCTCTAGATGTCACCACCCTTGCTTTTCCTTCGTTTCGTGCAAAAAAGAAACCTTCCACAGGCCCCGGCGATTCAAACGTCTCGCTACTGCCGTGCTGATCACAATTGACTGAATTAAATTCGAAAAATTTAGAACAAAGCACGGCAGTGGCACGTCTTGGTTTCAAACGACATGCTTCTGTCATACCAAACTCAGTTCATTGATCATTAAAAAAATGTGTTAAAAAAATTCATATTTTGCTTTCGACAACAGCTATTGTATTCGACATCCGAAGTCAAGTCGTAAGGTACGGTCGAGCCAGCTTGGCACGAGTAGAGATTCGAGTCCAGGACGAGGACGATTACGAGTAAGAGATTTTCTCGTGCGCGCGCGTGAACAGCCAGCGTCATTTTGGCGGGAAAACGTGATAGCTGTCGTCATTCAACAACGGGATTTAGCGAGAATGTCGTAGTGGCGGGAACAAGTTATCAAATGTTAGAAGTATAATCATTTTGCTATCGGGAGAGGGAGTATAAATAACAGTATTAACTTTGTTGGTGAAAAAACTTTAAGTTAAATCTCGTATTCGTACTCATTCTCATCCTCAAATCTAAATCTCCCTAACGGCACGGCATTTGAAAACGGGACTTAGGCACTAAGGGAGAGGAAAAGGGGAGTATTAAGCGAAGAGGGGCGGGGGGGGAGGAAGAGAGAATAGGCCGTGCTACAGTAATGAGTTTGAGGCCATGAAAGTGAGGGCCTCCGTGTGGCCTCTTGTACTCCTCCCATCCTGTGAATATCGCTCTTGAAAATTGAGGGCATGTTTTGTAACACCTCGAGTGAACACAATGATGTCATTCAGTGTCACTACAGGGCATCCACTTTGCTCCCTATCCCTACCCCCTCGTAACATAAAAGAGGATCCAGCCAACGTCACCTTTTCAGAGCAATCACGTGATCCATGGGTAATGCGCCATCTTCTTCTCTGAATACACTCAGCTTCTCATCAATTTCTTTGGCACTCAATTTGAAACCACTTAAGAAAATACCTGTCATATAGAAATGAAAGAGCAACAGATTAGTTTCCTTAACGATCATTTATCTTCTTCTTTTAACGAACTAAAAGTCGTTTGGAAAGATGACATGATCGGTTGGAATAAAACAAAAAGAAACCACCTTTGAAAATTTCTCTAGCATGAAAACATTATCTTACCCAAATTTTGAGCTCTTTTGGGATCCAACAGAGTCTTTGCAGTGGGTTTTGTTTGCACTACAAGGAAAACAAAATAACAAACATGAAAAGAGCCTCTGATATTATTTAAGAGACTTAAACTGATTTTTATTTTTTCGGGTTTTCAAATAAACTCAATAGAGCTCTTTCATAATGGCGGACTATTAATATATTCGTTTATATGTATGATAATTAGCCTTTCTGACCTCATTAGCATGTGTTAAATACAAAAGAATTCTAACTTTCAAACAAGACCAGAATGGCTCATTTATATACATATGAAAGAATAAATAAATGGGCCGCCATAATGAAAGAGGTCCATTCGAACTCTTGAAATAACTTATCCTACGGTTCTTTTTTGTTGTGATGAACAAGATGGCTGTAACTTTTGAGTCTGTGAATGAATTCCCAACGTTTGATTATTTCAAATCAAACGTATTGAGTAGTACTTTCATTTGCTACTGCTCTGCGAGTTGATTTGTTTGAAAATGAGAACGATTGACTTCTGGACATAACTTTCTATGGTACTGTTCAATATTTTTAACATTTTCGCATACGTATGTTTTCAGAGAAAAAATCTTATATGCGCAGTATTTTCTCGTGGTTCCGCTATTTACTGAAGCTGCTGAAAGAAATTAGTTGCGATGGCGATGTATTATAATGAGGGTTACAACTAGGTATACCTATCGATAGAGTGCCAACGAGCAAATCATGCGTATTTTGCTTAGCAATAAATTCCTTTTTTTTCCCATTTGACCGTTTCTTGGTCCCTTCCTGTTGCAAGGATTATTTTCTTGAAAAGTTCTCAGATTCAGTATGGTGGCTTTACAAACCTGCTATGTAATATTGGGAAGTGCCATGAAAGAATAAAGTCAGCTTTGCAGAGGAAGCGATCGGGAATATTATTAAGTCCAGCTACAAATGTACTGTCGGTTCGGTTTCACATTGTTGATAAATATTTGCACAGTTTAATCATTTAAACCTCCTTTCAAATTTCCCGAGTCTTTTTGTTATCTGATTGAAACTTAAAGTGATTCGCTGGGCCATCTGAAATGTTTCCAAGGACATGCGATGTACGGCACGTCGGTATTTAATTTTAGTTCATTATTTTTATACTGAACTCGGCCACGTTTCGAAAAAAATGGCGTTGTTTTCTTTTGCTTTGTCGTTCGCTTTAGGCTTGTAATTCGTTTTTGTTCTCATTGTTTTTGTTTGCTGGTTAGATTTTTTCCCCAACACCAGATTTTCCAACAGAAGCGACTACAATCTTCGTGTCAAGCTTTCCTTATCTCCTCGTGTAATCTGATCCTTTTTAGTGGTGAGAATATTGCTTGCTGCACATAGAACACTTTTGCTGTTTTACAAACTTCTCTTCGTTAAAATTTAACATTATGGCTCCTAAAATTAATAGAATATATCAAGTGCTCATGTCTCTTGACTGCGGTAGCCGGGTTTAACGAAAAAATTTAGGTAAATAAACACAGGAAGTCGCGACGGCGGGAAGTGAGTGAAATTTTGTTTGTTATTCAACTTGAGCCCGTGCGCCAGGTACTGCCTTTTGATTGGTTCACAACTGACCACTTGGTCTCAGGGGAATCTACATTACATTAGGGACGCTTTCCATTTAGGATAAAAACCGGAAATTTCGGGGCATACTGTATTTCGCGGACTGGACTGGACTGGACTGGACTAGTAAAACGCGGACTTGTAAAACGCGGACTCAAAATTTGTAAAACGCGGACTCAAAATTTGTAAAACGCGGACTCAAAATTTGTAAAACGCGGACTCAAAATTTGTAAAACGCGGACTCAAAATTTGTAAAACGCGGACTCAAAAATTTGTAAAACGCGGACTAGAAATAAAAATAAATACATAAATAACTAAAATATTTGCTTTATTAAATGAATATATCTCTTCTTATATAAAACGTTCCGAATGAAACGTCAACAGGAACATAATCTGATGTCATAATCATACAGACAACAATTCAATTGCCGGATATTATACTATCCACTTTAAAACATTACTTCAAACAAAAAAAACTTTAACATGTGATGTCATAATCCCGGCTCACAGACAACAATTCAACTAGACCATAGCGGCAAGCCTTTCGAAAATTACTTGCTTGTGTTCGGGTAGAAGAAAAGGCTGTAGATCCGACGGTATTCTGCATGAATTTGGTTGAAAGGCAGGGAAGGTTACCCTTATGCAATAAGGGTTAACATGATAATATACCGACGAAATATCTGGAGATGTGTGTTGACGTCCTTTTTTTAAATACTGACGGCGAAGTCGTGTTGTCAAAACGAGGTCATCGGGTGGAGGTGGATTGGTCCCGCCTGGCTTCAGGGTGTCGCCACAGCCATAGCATCGCGTGACTTTACTGTCGAGGAAAGATAATCTGGCAAACACTAAAATTCCTGGTAAGGGCTTTGGACGCTTTGGGGTTGGAGGCTGTCCGTTGGCTTGCTGGTAAGGTTGATTAGATGAGATTGGAGGGACTAGTGGAGTCCGAGGCACGTTGAAACTGTTACCCAGCTGAATGTGAGGCAAAGGCGACACTGGCGGCCAAGGTGGGGTGTTTTGGTCAATTGCAGATGGGCATGAATCATTGACGGGTGCGGATGTAGGCTGCAATACCCGATTGCGAACAATGTTCCTATCAGTTGAGGATTTATTGCTTCCACCTTTCCGCTTCCTTGTTCCGGTTTTTGACCAGCATTGTTAGGCATGTTCACGTTTGCAAGGCCTGACAGATTAGGAGAACGCTTTCTGCTTTTGAACCATTTAAGGAACTCCTTTAAAGCCCCTCTTTCTCCGCTACTGCTAGGGTGTGTGAACACAAACTGTACGTGGACCAGCTTACACACCCTTTATCACACTGCACCTTGCCAGTTTTGGGATAAACAAGGACAGTGTGAGGCTCACGTGATGTTTGGCTGTGAACCATGTATCTGATTGGGCATGAGGGGTCACCTCCTTCACCAGTTGGCACTTTCCACAGCGCGGACGGATCTTCCACTGTCGTAGCAGCCTTGCTGAACATCCCCTTTAGCACTGGGTAGGGAATATCAATAATCTGGGCATTTTCAGCAGTTATGGATAACGTTGTATCTGTGGCGGCTCCTTGTTCTTCTGAATCTTCGTTTCGTAACCTTGACATGGATGATGAGAAGAATTTCTTCTTCAGGGCGTCCTTCTGCTTGTGACTCATTCTATAGAAGCCCTTCTCGTCGATCCCAAGGAAGGAGAAATCTTCAGTTAATCGGTATTCCCTCGACCAATGACTGCGAGGAACTGCTCGTCTTGTTGCCTCTTAACTTCGCCTCTTATTCGCTCTATGGAAGGGGAAGCCCGTCTGGTTTCTTTTGCAAGCTTGGCATCTTCGTCCGCTTTCACTAATCTGTTCATACTTTCACTTGCGTTTTGTGTATATACCTTGGGCGGAAACCCAAGGCCACACATCGAGCGAATGTCGGCCGTTGCACTTTCCCGAATAACTTCCGCGTTCTCTTTTAAAAAATACGTTGTAAATTGATCACCATTCTTGTGCAAGCCTGGCCATTTTCGTTTAACATTGTTCAATGCAATGTCGAACTCGGCACCTGAAGTGCAGTCAACTAGTCCACCCTCAGTCACTTCTCCAAGTACCTTTCCAAAAATATCACAGACAATTTCGTCGGCCACACTTCCTGATATTCCAAGCTCACTCAGTTTTCGTTTGACATTGTCCCTCAGGTGAATGTCACAACGCAAATGCTTTGCGTCTACAAAGACTTGCGACATGGCCTTAAAGAGGTTTTCCTCTCCATCTGTTCCGTAGGCTAGAACACCACTAGTGTCTTTGTTGTACTTTGTCATTAGGAGAGGCAAAGTCTTGTATGATGTTAGAAGCTTTTGTTTGTGCAAAATGCCGGGTCCTATGCAGACAGGGTGGACTCCCTTGTTAGTAGTTAACATCAGGTTGCGATAGGTGGTAAAGGTGTAGTAATAGTCGGCAATCTGAAAAGTACAGTCTACTTCCAAGATGCAGAACGCTTCAGGATTGGTGCAGAATCGCACTACATCAGTTAACTGCTGGTCGGTGGCGAGAAAAACTATCGGCTCTGGGAACAAGGGGATTTCTCTGATAAAGAGGTTTTCTCTCAATCCTTGCTGTTCTTCCTTCGCCTTTGCCAACACCTGTAGAAGGGGATCGCCAGTGGAAAGGGGTACATCAACCTTCTGGCGCTTCGCTTGTCTGTTGATGTTGTACACCTGATCCCTGTTTCTTGGAAATTCGCCTGCAGACTCGACTTGCATGATTCCCCTCGTTCTTCGACAACCGAGTGAATGACTCGACGAGGGGATGTTCTTTTAACTTGTCTTGCACAAATTCTCGGGTGCTCTGCATGGTTCTTTTAAAAGGACGTGGTGTTGATCCTTTAGAGTTCCCATGGCTCTTGATGTTGACTTCTTGTTCGCCGTCTGTAAACATATATTGAACAATTGCCAAATCGTGAGGCGATGTTGATGTAGCCCGATGTGCAGAGATTATTGACTTTCGCAAGGAGGGTAAGCTTTTATTAGTGAAAAACTGGCGTTGCACTATATGCAACACGTGGTCAGGTGGGCAGTCATCTTTGTCCTCTAATCTGTGACAAATTCCAGAGTTGTCTGTGGAATACGGAAACTTCTTTGAGCCTGTACACAACCAAGCGCCAAGGTCGTCGCACTTTACATCAGCTTTATTTGACAGATTCGACGTGTCCACAACAAAGACAGTGTTTTTAGATATATTTGTTGGGACACGCGTCGCCATTAATGTGCGATCAGCAAAGGGTTTTAAAAGAATTTCAGCCGCATCATCAGTATTCATCCCTTTGGTTAGGCCCCACTTGTAGACTGGTAGACGTTGGTCTCCGTCATAGAATTTTATGTCCGCGATAGGGCCAAGAGGCAACTCCTCCTCGTCACTTTCGTTTCTCTCACATTCCGCGGGTACTTCTTCAGTACCTGAAAATTACAATAAAAAGTTATATACTGTATTATTACAATTTTAAATAAAAATAAAATACAGGCAAGCCACCAACATATGTATGAATACATGCATGTATGCAGAAAAGAACGAAAATTAGAAAAAAATTACTACTTCACTCCTTTTCCCAAAGTTGGCGCGGGTATATAATGAGCGTAGAATGATCCACATTTCTACGATTTTGTTGTCTAGTAAAATTAAAAAAGCTAGGTTCTTGGAAACTCAACATCATAGTACATTCATCCACGCGCTCGAGAGATTCAAGGAGAATGTCTTCAGAGGTAGACATAGGAGTCCACAAAGGTTAACCACCAAGTTCACTTACGCCCAGGTGCGCAGGTTGTTTGTAGAAGTACGCGTAAAGGTACAGTGTATATCCAAATTTAAATTGTTTTAAATAATCAAATATAAGGTACACATTGTTTTTCACCCTTTCTCAGATGACTTGTCTACACCTCCAATGTCTCCTTTTGGATAAATATGTTTTACTTTCTGAAATTAAACAAACCACATTTATTAGGTTGTCCTTAGGTATATACAATCAAACACTTAACGTTCGATTGTGTTCGATAACTCAATAGATTATCTGTGATTGCGTTTGGTAACTCCTTGGAATATCTAACTCAATAGAACATTTGATAATTATAGAACATAGGCAGTCAAACTTGTTAAAACGTTAACTTGCCGAAAAAAAAATCGAAACTGCATGCTTTGGTTCGGTGTCATTAAACTTTGTTAGCGATGTCTGTTTAGTGTATAAGACGTTATAAGAGAAGAAACGCACTGGATGCGGTAATTTACAATCATTGTCTACGTAGTATTTTAATGATTCTGCCTTTATTATTGTGCTGATACTGCGAGAGCTTTTTCCCTTTTTCAGTCTGTGCACTTACTGTAGGCAAAGGTTCCTCATCGCTTGTTGCTTCAAGATCAATCACGATAGTGCCGCGCTCCTCATTGTCAACATTTTGGCCACAAACTGTAACATCGGCATCTCCATTGTTAACAGCAGCAAATTCATGTTGGTCATCTGTCACTTGTTTTCTTCCTTGTTTCGACATTTTCGTTCCTAGAGGGTGATCTCCAGTTCCTTCAAAAAAAGAAATGTATGTTTCGTTTTTTTTTTTTTTTTGTCAGTGGTTTATCGCTAAAAAAATATAATTTTCAATTTTGAATCCAATAAAAGCTTTGCTTTGTTACGGTAATACAGACATACCGAAGAGAAATACTTAGATATTTGTACATTAGGTTACTACGACTCGCTCGAAATCTTGCAAAGCCGCGATAACCTCACTTTCTCTAGCTCTGAAATAGGCCTGTTTGGCAATTAGTTGAATAATAAAACGGTTTTCCTACTCGATCGTGCTCGATCGTGCGCAATATCTTCTAATTTTAAGCAACTCGACCTATTAGTTTTAATTATAAAGAATCTATCTTTAATCAATGGCGGATCCAGATTGCGGCCCGTTTAGGCCACTTCTCAAGATGCACCATTGCTTGCAATAGTATTCTGAATGTCGGGTTGCACTATATTACAATCAGCAGGTTATTGTGCAATTTTTACCCAACCCAAACATCCTCATTGTAAAGCAGTTTTTTAAACAAAGTTTAAATGTCTAACCTGAAATTGGTGTTAGCCAAGCCAAACTCTGAAGTTCCTTTTCCGATGCCCCCGCTTTGAGTAGTCGGTTCAGAATCCATTGGACAAGTAGTTTACAGGATCGAGGACTGCAGTCTGGTGTCACTAACAAAAAGACCATTGCAGTTCCCTCCAAGATCTTCAGAAACAGGATGAGTGTCAACCAAGAACAGAGCATCTTTGTGCTTTCCCACTGAGAATATGTAAGGGTGACATGTGTAAATGGCAACGGCGCTTTCACTCTGATCTAGCTTCTGTGTTAGTGCATTGATCAGCTCGGTTCTGCCATTATCTGAAAACACGGTGTTTGACGAGATGCACTCGTCTGATAGTTCATAGTCGGAAGACAAGATCTTAAGTTCCTTCAGTTTTAGTTTTGCTTCAGACACGTCATAATACTGATCAAATTTTCGGTGTTCGTTGATCATCCTTGGTAGATTAATGATAGTGTCCTCAGCGATTTGTTTGACGTCATCCCACTGAACATCGCTTTTCTCGTTAACCTTAAAGTAATAATAATTATATTAACTGGAGAATTATACAGATGCATATTGAATGAATGAATGAATGAATGAATGAATGAATGAATGAATGGATACAGTTGTGAACCGATATTCGATTAACAAACTAACTTACATTAACCAAATGTAGAACTGAAAGACCGCGATCCAGCTTTTTCCCCATATTCCTTGTAAATTATAATAAGCAGTAGTGTTTAACTTTTCTAATCAATTATTGTAAACCCAGTCCCCCTCAAAATTGGAATTTTCTATATATTTTGTATTGTAACAACATTTTAATTCTGAATCAGTGAGCTGCGAGAATGTGAGAAATAAACATATTTAATATTATTATTACTATTATTATTATTATTTAATTGTAAGCATTTTATAGAGTTGAGAATAAAATAATTATTTTTAAAAAAAAAAATTATTATTATTATTATTATTATTATTATTATTATTATTATTATTATTATTCGCGTCTAATTTTACCTCGTTCAAGAATCTGTCGCAAATGGTTAGGGCAAGGAACGCACAGCAGTTGGTACCGTCATCCTGTGGTGTCTGGGCAGAGCTCTGATTCACAGACAAATTCATCAAACGTAGAGATGCCTCCGGTTGATTAGTATCTAGGAGCCTAAGAACTTCAGCGGCAGTCGGTCTTGATTCTGGGTCAAATTGTGTGCATAATTTGAAGACGTCGTCAATTTGCCACCACTGAGTTGTCCGGAAAGACTCGTATTTGACGTCAGGACGGGGTAGCTTCTGCTGTCTCAAGGTATTTCTCAAAGCCTTTTCCGAGAATGGGACACCAGAAGCTTCAAATTCAGCACGATATGGATTAGAAAGATTTGGATTTATCATCGAGAACATCATGAGGCCTAAAGCCCAAATATCAGCCTTTTTAAGGTCCTCCTGACCAGCGAACTTTAGATCTTCTAATAGGATCTCTGGTGCCATAAATACAGGTGTGCCACGGCAAGGTGATTCCGTCTTCGGCTTCAAAAATGTGCTTGTCTGCATGTTAGGGGAACGACTCAAACCAAAATCTGCAAGTTTGCAGACAATGGGGCATTCAGCATAGGATTTGGCCAGATCCACATCATTCTGTTTGCTGTAATGTTGATTGCAGACCAAGGTGTTCCCTGGCTTTAGATCTCTGTGCGCGATATTGTTCTTGTGGAGAAAGTCCAATCCGGAAACAACGTCCCGCGCACACAGTAACAAGACATCTGCGAACGACGTAAAGTCGAATTCCGCATCAACGAAATGTAAAAAATCTTCAAGCGAATTTACCTGTTTTTAACTCCCAACGGATTGAAGTCAAAACAAGCATGCTCCATCATTATGGCGTAGGGTTCTCGGCAAAATCTTAAAAACTCAGTCACATTTCTATGGCCTTTCACGGTTTTAGGATCGCCGCTTCCTTCTCGAATCGACGTCTTGCTTCAGCCGATTCACCTTTCATTTTTTTCACAATAACATTTCGACGGTGTTCTTTCTCGTATTTGACAAGGTAAACTGAACCAAACGTACCGCTTCCGAGCTCCTTCTCTACAGTTACCTCACTCCATTCGAACTCAGGAAACTGTGTTTTTGGTTTTGGCCTTTTAGCGAGCGATGGAAGCTTAAAACAAGCCGCCATCTTCGCGCCGCCACGTGAAAATATATTCCGAATTTTGGCGCGATTTTACTGCTCAAAGGTCAACAAAGGTCAACAGCCTCGTTTCCGTTGTCGATGTCACTTAATCCAGTGTCACGTAATGACAATAAAAATTCAAAATCTTATGCTTCAGGTGTGGAGGCTGGGAAAAAGGCTAAAATAAAATATAATATGAAGGAGTGAATGCTGCGTGCGTCAGGAGCCCATAAATAATAGGCTCTTGGTGCGTGTAATAATGCGTGACAAATTTTGGCCTTCCCTTAACTGGGGCTCCTTCGGTACCTTTTCGGGCCTGTAAAACTGTTTTGGGCTTGCTCAATTGCATTTAAGATATCGATGGTGTGTTAGTTTTGAAAGTAACACAACAAACTATAACCTAGTCCCGAAACAAAATAGACTGGTTTGCAAGCTACGACCCCCCGAGCTACAACCCAGCGGGGGGATGTGTACTCGAAACGTTCATGACGGGGGTCTGACTTTATTTCTTTTATTTTATTTTTTTTAGGGGGGGGGGGGATTAGAAATGTGGGGTTAGAAATGTGGACTCCCGGAATTTTTTTACAAATTTTGAGTCCGCGTTTTACAAATTTTTGAGTCCGCGTTTTACAAATTTTTGAGTCCGCGTTTTACAAATTTTGAGTCCGCGTTTTACAAATTTTGAGTCCGCGTTTTACAAATTTTGAGTCCGCGTTTTACAAGTCCGCGTTTTACTAGTCCAGTCCAGTCCAGTCCAGTCCAGTCCGCGAAATACAGTATGCCGAAATTTCGGTGGGAGCAAAAGTGGAATTTCCGATTGGTAAAAAGTTGTTCCATTTGGCGGTAAACCCCGGTACGTCGCGGTGCCCGACGGTGGATCTGGAACTGGTACAAACTACGAGAAACGTAAATGGAACACGACATTCCGTTCGGAAATTCCAACCGGGGAAACGGGACCACCTTTTCAGATTTTCCACTTTTTCTGGGAATTTTCCAGTGGGATGAACCGACGAAACGTGTTCCATTTACCGCTGAACTGGAAATTCCGGAAATTTTGACTAAATGGAAAGCGCCCTAGGTTACACTTTTTTCAGCTCGATCGAGAATTTTTCTGCCTATTGCCCAGTCTTGCGCGGCTCTATTCTGCCGCCGCTTCGCCATCCGAGCGTCTTCGCTCGGATGGCTCGTTGGCAATGAACAAGAAAACTTCCACATTTAACTAAGACACTGCTTGTTAAGCGAATAACGAACAACAACAACTTTCCAAAAACAATTTAAACCTTATTGTCATTTTCAGACATCAAAGGATGGGGAGTGAACTGACCTGGATTTATGGCTTTTTCCTTTTCTTCTATCTGAAACATTTCTTCCAGTAACTCTAAGTTTATACTCTTGGTGCGATCAGAGGCTCTCGTCCAAAGTGAGGAGGAAACCTTCGAACAGGCAAAATTACGCTATTACTAACTTTTGCATTAGGAAGACTGTCACACGAGATTTGTCTTACTAGGGATAAATTTTTGCTATTTTTAGCAAGTAATTGCAAAAGCTGTGAAACAAAAACTTGTGAATCATGACACGTCTGAAAACCGAGCAAGATGCTCAAAACATTTGCTCACTTTCACAAAGCTCTCTAATGAGTCACTTGGCCACGGCGAAACCCTAGTTATCAGACTAGCCTAACCTGCGATCAAGCGTCCTTTTTTAGTTTTCGGGGGAACACGAAAGTCAGCGAACAATAGGAAGTCGATTTTTTCGAGGCGCGAAGGGCCAGCGAGAGTCACACGCGCGGGCGTCACTCTCCGTTTTCATCCTTGCTCGAGATCTTTCGTCTGACTGTTCGAGCGTTCTTGACTATGAAAAACTACGGACTGTTTTACAGTCTAGCGGACAAGGACCGCCTGGTCACAGGTTAAGACTAGCCAAGAGTCACAAGTTTTTTAAAATCATTTTTAGCATGTTGAATATTCGAATTTTGTGTAGGGTGTCGTTTGTGCATAGGTGCTTGGGTATTTACGGAAACAAACTACAGTTGAAGCTAAATGCAAATGTCTCATTTAATGACTGCCCAGTGATACTCAAAGTTCATTGTACGTATTTACATCTTACATTTGCACGGCTGAAAGCTATAACTTGAGAGTGGTGTTCCACTCTATCTTACGGTCACGTTCTGTCCGATAAACACTTAAGATATTTATTTCCAGCAAAGAAAAAAAAAACTTCCGCAGGAGACTTTCAGCAGTAATACAGGGTGTCCCAAAAGTTCGTTCCTCTAATTTCATGCGCAATAACTTTTGATCAAAACTTTTATTTTTACATGAAATATCTATTCATTTTGAGCTTTTTTATCACCTAGTATGCAGGAGTCACTTCGACCCCCAAACAATATAACTTTTTAGATTAGGCAGCTGAAACAAGATATTTTGGGCATTGATCCAAGAAAAGATGATCATTCCGTCCCCTTTCTACAGTAAGGCTTTTGCTCTTCTTAATAAATTTGAGACGAGCTGAACATTGCTTGGCGGACGGCCCCGGCCGGGAGTAAAATTTTTTTTTCCATCTTAAGGGTCTCCAAACTTTGCTTTTCATGAACCTGCTCCAGACTTAACTTGCTAACTGTTATAAGAGCTACCTCGTCGGGTTTCCTCTTTTGTACTTAGCCTTCTTTAAAACTATTTTAGCGGTTTTATTCAGGACTTTCGGTCTTCCCCCCTCGTTTCTTGTCTGTAAAACCTTCATTTCTCTATGACCATCTTACCTCCCAACTTTCGGATTTTTTCATTTTTTTTAGGAATTATGTTGACTGATAAGCCAGTAGATAGAAATACATGCTTCTGCTCGCACGTAGGTGAGTGTTTTTTCGTAGAGAAGGTTAGGAGTTCGAGCATTTCGGGCTACAAAATAAAAAATATATATAGCGGGAAAATCTACTCGTGCAGCGCACCTTTTAGCGCGAAATTACAGAAATCGAATTTCGAGTCAAAAGATGACACAAGAAGTACGAAATATTAAATTAGATTGAAAGTCAAAACTATTGTTTAAATCATATGCTGACCAAGTCCAATCGTACTGCGTTACAGACTTTTAAAGTAGACGAACGAACTTTTGGGACACCCTGTAGTTTGTAAATACAAAATATGTAGGCCATTAACAAGATGAAGTCATTACACTACTCTAGTATCAGAATCCTTCGGGGTTTTTCTTTCTTGTGCAAATTGAGGAACTTTTAACTTAACCTTGCAGATAATAATTAAAGTTAAAAATGGAAGGAAAAACGAAAAGGATTTTGGTAGTAACAGTAGGACAATGACTCCATCGTGAAAATGGCATGGTACTTCGGTAAGTGTTCATAAATAATGACACAAGCGCCGTTCCACAGGTGACGTAAAACTTATAAAAAGCCATCCGTTTGCTTTTTTCCAAAACGCCCCGCACTAACGTCAACTGCCTTACCTCCTCTCCCCTAAACGTCCAGTTGACGTTAAGCGGGGGGAAAGTGAATATGTCGACGGCCCCTTAAGACTGGTTTTTACTAGCGCATAAACATAAGCATAAGCACAAGCACTTGTGTAAGCAAGTGGAAACTGGGTCGACATAAGCATAAGCATAAACACAGAAAAAAACGGACAAGCTCGTTCTTCTTGTGCTTGGGCTTATGTCGTAGCTTTGACTACTGTGAAAACGGAGTCGACATAAGCAAAGGCATAAGCACAAGGCCGTGGACCAATCATAGGCAGTCCCAGACCTCATGCAAACATATCAAAAGCAATATGGCGGACAAGGAGTCCTCCATCTTGTTTATCATCGGGTTGAGGAGAGCTGGTATCGAGAATTGAGTCAAATGTGCCATTCTGCATGTGTCTATGTCCTTTTGCTTATGCTTATGCGCTAGTGAAAACCAGGCTTTTGAGAACCAAGCAGGGGACTTGGTGACCACTATGAAAACAGACCAAATACAAAAACTGAATAAATTTTCACTAACCAACTGGGTCGGAACTTTGTTCCAAAAGAAAGGTCTTAATTTCACTCTGGACTGCACTGCAACTGATCGACCAGGAACGCCATCCATCGCCAGAGGAGGGGGTGGAGGAATTCCACCAGGGAGGGGTGGTGGTGGCGGTGGAATGCTACCGGAAGCAGATCTTGTTGCATCAGAGTCTCCATTCTCCTCAGCAGCTTTATGAAATACAAGAAAATATACAGTTTTGTATATTTTGCCCTACTAAACAGCAGCTTGACAAGAAAACAATGCACCGGTTCATCGTAATGCTAAGGTTTGTAGCTATCATTGTATTGTTTGCTGTTTTCGCAGCAAGTCTTGTATGGAATGTTCCGAAATAATGAGACCCATCTCCCTCTGGTACTACATTTTTGTTGATGAACTCAACACAGGAAACAAAGCCAAACTGACAAGTAGTTAAGGGTGTGTCCGACCGACCTTACACTGGAATAGCAGGTCAATCAAAGGCATCCCAAGAAACATAGACGTACACATGAATCATACGTTTTTATAAATGAACGAATGAGAATGGGAAACAATAAGATGAAAAGAAAATATGAGGAAGAAGTTAAACATCACATGACATAAGTGTAATTGTTAACTTTAAAATTAGTTACTTATTAAACATATCATCACCCAAAAGCGTAGAGTTAAAACAAGAGTATACAAAGATATCAAGACCTTTGATACAGCTGCCGCAAAAACACACGTTCGCACAGATTAAGCCAAATAAAACGAGAAGTTACGTAAAACTTGGCCATTGTTGTGAACTCTTTGAGCTAGCCTTTTGAGAGGGTTTACACAGTTTAATATCTTATAACTTAAGATTGCTCAGGAAAATAACTCCTGAACCTTTTGTTTCCAATTTTGCTACTCGATCTAAAGAATCAACAGTCAAATTCAAATTTTCTGCTCTGGAGTAATTCACTGTAAGGTGTTGAACTCTCCAGCCTTAAGCCACAAAGTAATCTCCGGATTATAATAAAATAATAATTGCACATTGCACCTGTAAACTTGACATATTCCGAATGCTGCCTTGATTTAAAGAACCAAACGAAACTTTAAGGTGGCTCGATACAGTTTTTCAGGGTCAATACCTCCCAAGTTTGAGCATAAACTACTTCGTCATAAAGAAAGTTTTGGAAAAATTGCCATCACAGTTGTATTAGATAAAGATGAAAATTTGTTATGATCAGGGTTGCAACAGCATCGGAGTTGTCATAGCAACGAAATGACGCTATGAGCTATTTTACTTGCAGCAGTATATCTCGGCACTAGGAACTGTTCTTCGAAAATCATTCACGGGAGCTTTTTCCTTCAATAGCAGCCTCGATGTTCGTGAAGTTTAAGCGAAATCTGCAAGAGCGTTATCGAGATATTTTAGGATAAAGTTTTTATTGTTAGAAACACAGTAAAAAATGGACAATATTGTTGTTTGGCCGTTATCTGTAGAAAATGAAGCGCTTTCGACATGCAATTTCACCTCATAGTAGTTTCAATCTTTTTAAAAGCGTGTGTGAAAGATCATGGGAGATAGCTCCAGCCGATTGCTAGAAAGAAGGGTTTGATTAGTATGTATCGAAGCGCTCTTGTTAGCGGTTTTGTAAACATCTTGGTCTACTTTAACAAATTAGTGAATAATTTTTAAACCGCTCGATGGCTTTTTTATAAAATTTAAGATTCTTGAGATTACCTTTCCTTTTATATGACCTTTTAGTTTCAAGATTATTGATATGTTATAAGTCAGTGAAATAAGGGCTACAATTTGTTACTTTTTTATCAGAAGTTTCGTCATTACAATTGAAAGCCTCTAATTATTCAAGGCATTGTCTCCGAGTTTCATTTTCACGTGAACAGTACTAACTAACAATGCAGTTGAAATATGCAAAAATGTTAGCTATTGCTGTGCACGAAAATATGAAACTTGGACACAATACCCTGAATAATGAGAGGCTCACACTTGTAAACACAAAATTTCTGCCAAAATATTGGCGAATTGTAGCCCTTATTTTACTGCCTTACAATATATCAATAATCTTGAAACTAAAAGGTCATATAAAAGGAAGGTTAATCTCAAGAATCTTAATTTTTTAAAAAAATCTATCGAGCGGTTTAAAAATTATTCGCGAATTTGTTAAAGTAGACCAAAATGTTCAAAAAACCGCTAACAGAGCGCCTCGATACACACTAAGCAAATCCTTCTTTCTAGCAGACGGCTGAAGCTATCTCCTTGATCTTTCACACATGTTTTTAAAAAGATTGAAACTACCCTGGGGTGAAATTGCATGTCAAAAGCACCTCGTTTTCTACAGATAACAGCCAAACACCAAGATTGTCCATTTTTTACCGTATTTCTAATCACAAACTCTTTATCCCAAAATATCTAGATAACGCTCTTACAGATTTCGCTTAAACTTCACGAACGTCGAGGCTGCTATTGGAGGAAACAGCTCTCGCGAATGATTTTCGAAGAACAGTTCCTAGTGCCGAGATATACTGCTGCAAGGAAAATAGCTAATAGCGTCATTTCGTTGCTATGACAACTCCGATGCTGTTGCAACCCTGATCATAACAAATTTCCATCTTCATCTAATACAACTGTGCTGGCAATTTTTCCAAACTTTGTTTATGACGACGTAGTTTATGCTCAAACTTAGGAGGTATTGGTCCTGAAAAACTGTATCGAGCCACCTTAAACCGAAACTTTAAAACAAATTTAAAACCTCTCTATTGCTTAAGGTACGATAAAACGGGCACCAAAAACGCTGATTTGTTGCAGGACAGGATTGATGTGTGGCTAGTAAAACGTTTAACATCGCTTTTCAGGTACCGCAGCCTTAATGGATCATTTGAAGTTTCTGGGTAACTGACCACCTACCCCTCCCCTACGCCACAATTTTGCCCTAAGCAAGAACTAAGTGCTAATGTTGACTTAGGGGAGGGATAGGTGGTCAGTTACAAAGAAACTTGAAATGATCCGCTTCAGATAAAACGAATGAATGTTATGTACTGTTTAAAAAACGAGCAGGAGTGTTTTATCAGGTTTAAAAAATAGTTTTTAAGCCTGATAACACATGACCGCGAGTTTTTTGAACGGCTTCAAAATCTATGATATAGATCAACTCATTCTTGCAGTACTATTTAGATTTGGGGTTATTTTGGTCTAAAAAAATTGGACCTAAAGTTTAGCCGTGTCTTTATCAGATATGAAAACACCCTTTAAATATCAATTTCTTTTGTTTTTTCCTTTATGAATTATTAATGAGTTTTTGAACTGGTTATAGAATAGTATTTATGTTATGCTACAAACTGATACCAATTAGTGATTAAAAGTTACAGATCTTAAGCTTACAAAGCAACAAAGCAACATACCATTTAAGACTTTTCCTTTCGTTTCCTCAGCTGTTGTCGACACAAAGACACATGTAATTAAGAGAGACATGTAATTAAGAAGCTTAAGTCAGTAGACAAGCGGGTTATAAGCAGAATCCGAGGGTCTATTATTTTCAATGGATCACGTGACTTTGTCAACTTTAAACTTAACAGAATAGATCTCTGAGTTTTTTTGCCACCATAAAATTTTGTTCTGCTTGTGGACAAAAGAGGGAAGTGATTGATAAGTGAGGGTGATGTTGAAACATATATTTCTTTAAGAAAAAAAGGATTTTCACTCTCACTCACTGTATTACATTTTTCTTAGCAATTTAGTAAATTCTCCATTCAAATTGCAGTCCCTACCAAATGACCAAAGCGAAACCTTATCGGTCTTGATATGCCGGTAAGTTTTAAGGATTGAAATTTATCCAAATTAATTTTTTTTGTCCGAAATAAGTAAACAAATATATAATTCGATGCAAATTTTTCTTCCTTTTCATTGGCCCACCACGTGACCTGCAAATAACTGCCTACAAATAATGGTGTGCTCATGCGCAATGTCGTTCAACTGTATTTGGCTGCAAACACTATTCTGCTCATGCGTAAATGAACCCACGCTTGCCCCTTCTTACGATCACGGCAGATCGCTTCGCCGACTTAGCAGAGAGCGATTTGGCAAGTTTACTCGATCAAAAGAACAGTGAAAATACAACAAAAGCCACAAAAGTCACTTATAACGTATTTCGAGAATATCTAAAAGAAAAAAAATTAACGAAGAGTCACTTATTTCACCAAAAGAAAAGTTGGCATCTGATATGATAAAATTTTACGCTGAAGGGAGGAAAAGGAATGTCGAGCTTTACACAAGTTTCACTTCTTGGGATATGCTTCACAGCCCTGAAGAAGAGCATATTTGTAACGAGCCAAGTATCGAAGACTCTAACACGAAGCAGAGAGTTAACAATTTTTACAACTGCACTTTTAAATTTTAGTCTTTAAGTAAATTTTCAGCTACCGTGTTAATGCTACTCATTATTGAATCAATATATTTTACCTTTTTTCGGATTTCAAGTTCTTGAAGACTGTAAACTTGTTCTTAAAATTCTTCATTAGTTTAATCGATGGATAGATTTTGTTATGGAACGGTTAACTTATTTACAAGGTAAAGTGGAAAGAATAAATTATTGAAATGAGAAGGAAACCATTTGATCTCTGTCATTATTCCTGGAAGGCAGCGCGCGCTAACCGCTTTCCGAAGATACTCAATAAAAAACAAACTCAGTGGTCGAATGATAATACAATTATTGAACTCGGTTATCGCAAAATATCGTGATTTGTCAGTGTCTCGCAGCTCGGCTTCGGCAAATAATTCATCTGCTCGCCACTGACAAATCACAATATTTTGCTCAACCTCGTCCAATAATTGCTAATTATCCATGCAAAGATGCAACAAGGTTGGTTATTTCTTAGTTTGATAGCTTTGAACCTTAGTTAGCTGTGTTATAGCCTCCCACGTAGACGTTCTTAGGGCTTCGTCACGCGTTCCTGTCCCCCAAAAGTTTATGGGGAAGGATTGTGTGACGAAACCCTAACAACGACTGCATAGGTAGCTAGCTGTGTTAATTCAACCGTGGTGAGCTTACTTCGGGATTAGGGCTTTGAAAATCACAATGTGTGACAAAGTTGACAAAGCCACCAGAACTCCATTTTACAGATGAGCGCACAAAGGAATTATTAGTGCAGATGATAATTACGCATGGATGTGCATGCATGTCTAAGCAGCAAACACACATACCATACTTCTCAAATCGATCTGTACTTTCCTCTTTCGGTTTCTGAACAGACAGTAACACTACACCTTCTTTGGTTTCAGTCTCCATTAGAATCTGCCGCCTTTCTTCCATTGCCTTCTGAATGTTGGTGCATCCCATTCCACCAGAATCAAGTTCCAATTTGCCATCTGTAGCTTCTTCCTTCTTTGGATCGACTGAATGTGATTGTGAAGGAGCTTCATTCTGAATGACTGCACCTTCATTAGTTGTTCCCGTGAATGTACCAAGACCAGAGGTGCTCTGGAGGGTTCCCTGGGGGATCTCTGTTCCTGTGAATGTACCAGAGGTCCCCTGACCAGTGGTGTTGGTTGCCAATGGAATGTTCCTTATGTGAACATTGTCGTATACATCATCTCCAGCAGGAGTAACACTAACCGGTGCAGGAGGTTCTTGATAAATACTAGAGCTATCGTCATCTTGTGTTTCGGAAACACTCCCTGGTTTTGGTGGTCTTGGAGGTTTGCTTGATGATGATGATGATAATGATGACGTTGACGATGAATCGCTAGATGTATCCTTTCCTCCACGTTTTGATGGAAATATTTCAACAGTTTCATAAGCATTTGATGAGGAGCTGCCACCTCGCCCAGGCCTTACTGGAGGAGCAGCCTGTTGGGACGTACTGTCATTAGAAGACGCTGTTGCGTCAGACGAGCCTTTAGGTTTTTTAGGACGTGAAGGGCGAGTAAAATACTCAGAGGATGAATTATCTGTGGGTGTTGAAAGTGTTGATATAGGCTTGGAAGGCCTTTGAGACATCTGTACAGCCTCGTATCCATCATCTATTTGCACAGGAAGACCAGGTAGTTTATCACTGTCTTTTCTCCTTGGTGGAGAGGCACCAAAAACAGGAGTCAGACCTGAGTTACTGCCTTTTAATGACTCTTTGCGGGGTTGAGGTATGGTTGTACTCCCTTCCCTGAGAGAATCTTTTCTTGATTGAAGAACCTGTCTCCTAGAGAAAGAGTCGAGAAAAGAAAAAAAAAACAAGAAAAGTGACCACTGTTGAATCATGCACTTATCCCAAAAAACTGTACACCCTTTCATTACCGTTGTTTGTGCCAACTGCCGTAAATCGGTGGGATATCATAGTCTGGGTGAACCTAGTCCTGAATACGACTATTGTTGACAGGGACTGACGTTTTGACAACCTGTGCGGTAGTCATCCTATTCAGGCCTGCACTCAACCAGACGTTCATATTCCAACTACTCATGAAATGATTCCTGGGTTCAAATCTTTCACAGTCAGGTTTTAGCAACAAATGCAGTTAAACATGTCTTCCACAGAGGTAGTCACTTGTCAGTCAATCAGCAAAACTGATCTATTGGTTGTGAGGATTACAAGATTAAGCCTCCATATAATTTTGCTCTACAGTGTAAATTTGAAAAATCTTTTCAGTTTCTGCTGTATCCTAACCCAGATGATGTCTATGAGTAAATCCTTCTTCTACTTGGATACGCTAATTAACTTTGCCATTATCAGACTGATGCCGTTAAAAAAGAGCATCATCCCACCTCAAGGCAAAAACAAAAAACCAGTAATGGCCCTTGAGACACAAGTGATATGAAACTTTTACCGTAACTGACTTACATGGTCCATGACAGCACTCCAGTTTTGACTTGAGAATCTAAGTTTCTTACAACATCCTTAACCTTTTTAACCTGATAAGGGTAGCGTAAAAAAAACATCATTATTTTCGAATATTTAAGGCTAGCCTGTGTACAACCGCCACCTCCCCTCATTCTGAAGTGAGGACCCAGCTGTACAGGGTAGTTTAACACTAAATTTTATTTTTTTTTTTTTACCTACGTTGAGCGTACCTAATGCTAAGGTAGGTGTTGTTACCTACCTACCTTGTAATCACATCGCGTAAAAAAAAAAGAAAAAAATGCGTCAGGGCAAGGTGAAAACTCTTTCAAGGGCTACCCTCCCTTCATGTAAACACGCCCTTAGAGAAGTCAGGAAACAAGAAGTAAAGAACATGTGTATCGTTACTGAGGGCTCAGTGTAATGACTCAAATGTCCGATAATAAACCAGTTTGGATGGCAATCACATGACACAAAAGAGCGTTATGAGCCAGACAAGAGACTCTATACTTTTCCAATGTATCCACTGTAGCAAAAAGAGATACTGTCTAGAATATACAGTGAAACCCCACCTTACGGTAATACGGTCACTTCATTATTACGGACACCTTTTTGGCCGCCCAGCAAAACGGCCATACAGTCACTTGTAATTATACCACTACAGGAGAAATTTCTGCAATTTGATTGGCTTAGAGCAGTGGTATTTCAGCTTAATTTGAAATACCTACATGTGAAAATTACAAACCTTTTGCGGGTAGTAGTATAAACAAATAATAGCAGGATTTGTACGTGATATTTGGCATAAATACCACTCGTGATATTTCAAAATTGTCTCAAATTTCACTCGCCTAACGGCTCGTGAAATTACGTAGAACAATTTTGAAATATCACTCGTGGTAGTTATGCCAAATATCACTACAAATCATGCTATTACCTATACAAAACCCTCGTTAATAGGGCCAAATTTTTTTGGCCCATTGGTAACCGTATTGACGAGGTTCCGCTGTACTACGTTAGGGGCTGCGCACTGTACGGCCTTCCTGAAAAGATTGTAACTGCTTACATCATCACTTAGATAAAACAAAGCAAAAAGAAATTTACCTGAACTGTTGCTTGTATAGGTGCATTTACCACAGACAACACTGATGCAAGTTGCTCCAACTCCTAAATAGCGAATTAGTTGAATATAATTAACACTTCCGGAAGTGCCCCTATATCAATTTAGTTCTGATCACTCTCATAGCAACACCAAGCGAGGGAAATTACCATTCTGGAGATACCGGGGGGAAAGGTCTCAAGAAAAAATATATCAAGATTCAAGCATGAGACGCAGACTGTTTCATCACCAGATGAAGCAACCAGAAGAGAGTTGAAAATACGACGCGCAGCGGAGTATTTTTGACGAACTTCGAGGTGTTTCATCCGGTGGTGAAACACGGTGTCGAATGCTTGATATTACCTCTCAAACAAAATGATTTTAGAAGGAGAAATTAAGGACGCAAAAATGAGCAGTTTTTCATCTGATTTCCAAACACGCATTAAACACTCATTTCCTTTGTATTTTCATCATGAATTATTAATGAGTTTGAGAAGTCTGAAAGCAAAAGTGACAATTGCTTCCAGTGTTCCTAAAAAAATGAAAACTCTATTTCTTATCTTCCCCTGGTCATACAGTGCACTTGAAAGCAGACAAAGACAACATTCAAACTAGCAGAAAGAAGGCCTTGGACTTGATCTTTCATCCTGCCTGACAATATTCTAATAACAGACTAGGCAAGAACAAAAATTTAAAAAATACCCTTTGCAGAGTGCGGACAACGTCCTTGAGAAATTGTTCTTGTTCTGCTACAGAAGTTGTGAGTGCTGCGGATAAAAGGAAGTAGATATTACATACATACATTCCTGTAGATATCCAAACAAGGAGGTACAGTTTTGCTTTATGTAAGGGAAAATATTCCATTGACTGTTAAGAATGACTTAGCAGCAAATAATGAGAAGTTGTTATGGATTGAAATTAACAGGCCAAAGTGCAAACCGCTTTTGATTGCTGCTACATACAAACCCCTAAACGTGAAAAAAGCCAACTTTATTGACTCTCTAAGAGACTCTTTTGCAAAGTCTGACCTTGAAAAGAACGGTTCAATACTAATGGGTGACTCAAACATCGACCAACTCGGGAAACGTTCCGCAAGCAGATCGCCGAAGTCGTTTGCCAGTGAAAATGACATGAAACAGCTCATAAATGAGCTAACAAGAATTACGGAATACTCAAAGACCCTTATTGACCTGCTCTTTACAAACAGAGAACACAAGATTGTTCAATCAGGCATCATTCATACAACGCTGAGAGACCACAGCTTAGTATTTGGGTGGTGAAAGGAGGCGCCCCAAAACTTCCACCAAGGAAATTTGAACATCGGTCATTCAAGAATGACAATAAGATGGAATTCGTAAATGATCTTAGTCAAGTCCCCTGGTCAGTTATTGACGGAGTTGAAAATGTCAGGGACGCTGTTTTCTTGTGGGAACGATTGTTTTCTGAGATAGCAAACGAACATGCTCTTCTGAAGATTAAGCGTGCTAACCCCATAAATAACATCGACACTTGCTGAAATGAAACGTGACAAAGACTCTCACTTCACGAAAGCACGCTTCACCAATTGTACTTACCAAAGGAAAATGTACCGAAATCTGCGGAATTCTACTAATAACAAGGAAAAGAATCTAAGATCGAAATAATTTTGTTGGATGGTTGAAGACGCCAAAGGTGTTTCCTGTAAAACGTGGCGAGCAATAAAACAAGTACTTCCTGGTGATAAAAAATAGACTGTTTTTTTTTTTTCAATCTTTAAAAATGGGAAGTGGCACACTAAAAAATCTCTCTGTCGCCAGACCATAAACCAGTACTTTGTGTCAACTGGGAAAGCATTGGCAAAACCATTTCAACACATTTTGACTGTTTCTAATTCCAGCACCCCTTCTTTTAAATTCCATCTGAATGTTACTGTGAACTTTGTCCGTAATGCCCTCAGATCTTTAAGAAACCAAAGCTGTTGGACTTGATAAGCGAAGTGCCCGCTTGTTGAAGGACGCTTCTGACGTCAAGTCACTGCATTATTTAAAGATGGATATAAGTCATTGAAAGACAATCATCAACCGATATCAATCTTACCAACCATAGGCAAGATCAAAGAGAGATCAGCACATATTCAGTCAAGTTGGAAGAAAACAGACTATTGTCAGAATCACAGATTGACTTCCAACTGAAGCGTTCAACTTCCACTGCCTTAATCGCCTTCACAAATCAATCCCTAGAAACTATGGACAAAGGATGCTTGACGGGAACAGTATTCCTAGACCTTCCCACAGCATTTGACACCGTTGATTATCTGCTCCCCATCAACAAGCTCAACTCTCTAGGAGTGGCAGGGAAAAATCTGGAATGGCGCCGCTCATATCTCTCTGGCCGAGTTCAACAAAAGATGTGTGATAATGTATTGTCTTCCCCACTAAAAATCACCATGGCAGTACCGCAGGGCAGAATACTGAGACCATTGTTATTCTAAGTGTAAAATGGCATTCAATCTGTACTGCAAAACGCAAAGATGACCATGTTTGCTGATGACCAGGCATTATATTGTCATGAGGACTCGCCAACTAATTTGCAATCAAAGCTCAATCCGGACTTATCAGCAATTACATCTTGGTTAAGTCGAAGTTTACGATCACTGGAGGCCGTAACAAACTGAGTCAATTTAATGACATAGCTCTTGCGGTTAATATCAACCAGCCAATCAATCAATCAATCCATCAGTCAATCAATCCTTTATTTGATAACGCAGGTTAGTCTACATATGAGGGCAGCCAAAGGCTGATGTGGACCTGCCAAAAAATAAAGTCATCTAACTAATAGATTACAAACTAAAATAAATAAATAATGATGATCAACTGCACAACGTTAACAAATTCAAGTATCTCGGTCAATCTGCTGGGAATTGATAGGAATCTTCGACACTTTTTACCTAGGAGTTTCTGGGAATTATCAGAAATCTTAGACCCTTTTCACCTTGGAATTTCTGGGAATTCCTGGGAATTGTTGGGAATCTTAGACCCTTGTAACCTTGGAATTTCAGGGAATTTCTGCAAATTGATAGGAATCTTAGACTCTTTTTACCTTAAAATTTTTGGGAATATCTGGGAATCTTAGACCCTTTTTTCCTTGGAATTTCTGGGAATTCCTGGGAATTGATAGAAATCGTAGCCTATTTTTACCTTGGAATTTCTGGGAATTTCTGGTAATTAATAGAAATCTTAGACCCCTTTTACCTTGGAATTTCTGAGAATTTCTAGGAATCGTAGACCCTTTTAACCTTGCAATTTCTGGGAATTTCTGGTAATTAATAGAAATCTTAGACCCCTTTTACCTTGGAATTTCTGAGAATTTCTAGGAATTGATAGGAATCGTAGACCCTTTTAACCTTGCGATTTTTGGGAATTATTGGGAATCTTAGACTCTTTTTACCTTGGAATTTTTGGGAATTTCTGGGAATTGTTAGGAATCTTAGACTCTTTTTACCTTGGAATTTTTGGGAATTACTGGGAATTGTTAGAAATCTTAGATCCTTTTTTACCCTGGAATTTTTGGGAATTTCTGGGATTTGATAGGAATCTTAGACCCTTTTAACCTTGGAAATTCTGGGAATTTCTGGGAATTATTAGGAATCTTAGACCCTTTTAACCTTGGAATTTTTGGGAATTTTTGGGAATTGTTGGGAATCTTAGACCCTTTTTACCTTGGAATTTCTGGGAATTCCTGGGAATTGATAGAAATCGTAGCCTATTTTTACCTTGGAATTTCTGGGAATTTCTGGTAATTAATAGAAATCTTAGACCCCTTTTACCTTGGAATTTCTGAGAATTTCTAGGAATTGATAGGAATCGTAGACCCTTTTAACCTTGCGATTTTTGGGAATTATTGGGAATCTTAGACTCTTTTTACCTTGGAATTTTTGGGAATTTCTGGGAATTGTTAGGAATCTTAGACTCTTTTTACCTTGGAATTTTTGGGAATTTCTGGGAATTGTTAGAAATCTTAGACCCTTTTTTACCCTGGAATTTTTGGGAATTTCTGGGAATTGATAGGAATCTTAGACCCTTTTAACCTTGGAAATTCTGGGAATTTCTGGGAATTATTAGGAATCTTAGACCCTTTTAACCTTGGAATTTTTGGGAATTTTTGGGAATTGTTGGGAATCTTATACTCTTTTTACCTTGCAATTTCTGGGAATTTCTGGGAATTGTTAGGAATCTTAGACCCTTTTCACCTTAGAATTTTTGGGAATTTCTGGGAATTCTTGGGACTCTAAGGTACTTTTCACCTTCCAATTTTTGGGAATTTCTGGTAATTACTAGAAATCTTAGACCCTTTTTACCTTGGAATTACTGAGAATTTCTGGGAATTGATAGGAATCGTAGACTCTTTTAACCTTGCAATTTCTGGGAATTGTTAGGAATCTTAGACCCTTTTTACCTCGGAATTTTTGGGAATTTCTGGGAATTGATAGGAATCGTAGATCCCTCTTAACTTTGGAATTTCTGGGAATTGATAGGAATCGTACACCCTTTTAACCTTGGAATTTCTGGGAATTTTTGGGAATTGATAGGAATCGTACACCCTTTTAACTTGGGAATTTCTGGGAATTTCTGGGAATTGATAGGAATCGTAGACCCTTTTAACCTCGGAATTTCTGGGAATTTTTGGGAATTGATAGGAATCGTAGACCCTTTTAACTTTGGAATTTCTGGGAATTTCTGGGAATTGTTAGGAATCTTAGACTGTTTTTACCTTGGAATTTCTGAGAATTTCTGGGAATTGATAGGAATCGTAGACTCTTTTAACCTTGCAATTTCTGGGAATTGTAGGAATCTTAGACACTTTTTACCTTGGAATTTTTGGGAATTTCTGGGAATTGATAGGAATCGTAGACCCTTTTAACCTTGGAATATCTGGGAATTGTTAGGAATCTTAGACCCTTTTTACCATAGAATTTTTGGGAATTTCTGGGAATTCTTAGGAATCTTAGACTCTTTTTACCTTTGAATTTCTCAGAATTTCTGGGAATTGATAGAAACCTTCGACCCTTTTAACCTTGGAATTTCTGAGAATGTATGGGAATTGTTTGAAATCTCAGACACGTTTTACATTGGAATTTTTGGGCATTTTTGGGAATTGTTAGCAATCTTAGACTCTTTTTACTTTGGAATTTCTTGGAATTTCTGGGACTTATGGAATCGTAGACCATTTTTACCTTGGAATTTCTGGGAATTCCTGGGAATTGTTAGGAATTTTAGACCCTTTCCTAGAATTTCTGGGAATCAATAAGCATCTTACACTTTTCTACCATAGAATTTCTGGGAATTAAGGAACCTTAGACCCTTGTCACCTTAGAATTTTTGGGAATTTCTGGGAATTGTTAAGAATCTTAGACACTTTTCACCTTAGAATTTCTGAGAACTGATAGGAATCGTAGACCCTTTTAACCTCGGAATTTCTGGGAATTGTTAGGAATCTTAGACTCTTTTTACCTTGAAATTTTTCTGGAAATTGTTAGGAATCTTAGACCCTTTTTACCTTGGAATTTACTACTAGACTAGAGTTATGCAACCAGTTACATAACCTCTATTTTCGTATCTTTTGTTTAGAACAGTAATGTGTGTTTCATCTATGTAAATTTAGTAGCTTTACTTATAAAGGCAGTTTAATCTTTTCAATCAATGCATTAAAATATTTCAGAGTTTAGGCTAGATTCCATTTCTGTTCCACCGCTTTCATCGAATTCTGTGGTTTAGATTTAAACATCCTTGTTTTTTTTAGCGCCGCAAGCAGATTTTTACCCTGCCCCGACTGTTAGCATAAGTGCCAAGACTAGGTTGAGGAATGCGAGCTCTTGCTTAATGGTCCTTTAGGGTCGAAATCAAAAGAGATCAAAACAAGTTATGTCTTAATTTGGGGCTGGAAAAGTCGGAAGAACAGACATAAAGTCTTTAAATCTTTCAGCAGAGCAGAAGAAAGATCCGAAAATTCTCTAACAGAAGTTCCTAGATAGGACCAAGCCGAACTCTAAATGCTCTTGCAGCAGCAGCATCTAACTTTTGCTGCTGGAAAAAGGTGATTTAAGTCTCGCAGAGTATATTGACAAAGCAGCTAACTGTTCTTTGCGACCAGTGTGAATATCCTGAAGCCCGTGACAGACTATTCCGAGATACAATGGTCATCTGTCTACGTTTCCGAGAGGCTTACTTTAAATGCACTGAGAAAGGCTCAGCTTTAACTTAAGAAGAGGCAACAGCAATTGCTCAAAATGAAGACACCACGGCTAGTCAGGTTGGTTATTATGTAACCAGAGTTCAAAGGCGATCTTACCCAATTAGTAGTCCATCAACTCCATGTTTTGCTGTTCTGTGTACCTTCATCATGGCAAGAAAACATACAAAGTCTCATGTGAAATGGCAGACAGCAAAAGTCACATGATCCTGGGCAGGCAGCAATAATGCTAATGGCATATATATGTTAGTTTCCCAGAGATCCAGCAGCAACCGGTCAAGGCCAAAGTGGATACGTCTACAAAAACCATTACTAACAAGCCTGTGAAACCCCCCCGCAGAACCAGTTATTCCAGTGGGACAAGAATATACAGACAAGAAGATAACCATCGGAGGGAAGACACATCTGTTACCTACAACCAAAGAGTACTTGATGAAGGAATACTCTGACAAGTTTAAAGGAACAGGAACTTTGCCTGGTGGATCTTATGACTGATATTCAGTCAAAGGAAGATTACAAACCTGTCCAACATCCTCCTTGTCAGGTAGCAGTGAGCAAAGCAGAGTTGAAGAGGCTGGTAGAACTTGGAGTAATTAAAGAGGTCCTAGAGTACACTGAATGGATCAATTCAATAATTATTGTTCCTTTGAAGAAACCTGGCAGTTCCTTGAGGTTTTGCCTTGATCCTAAAGATCTAAATAAAGATATAAAGAGCAACCGGTGGTACAACAGAAAGATTGATGATGTCTTACAAGAGCTGGCAAACTCAAAGTACTTCAGCCTAGTCCACCTACTCTGGCACATTCCACTGGACAAGGAGAGTAGTTTGCTGATGACCTTCAACACACAATAGGGCAAGAACCGTTTGGCGTTGGCTATGCCTACCTTTTGGGTTAACCGTGAAAGGTGATGCGTTTCAAGAAAGACTTGACAGAGTCCTAAAGAGAGTTCCCAGTACTACCGGTACTGCAGACGATATCCTGTGCCATGGCAATGCAGAAATCCCTCACGATGCAGTTGTGATTACACTGTTGTTGGAGACAACAAGAGCTAATTATCTCACTTCCAATGATGAGAAGTTTGTCTTCAAGACTTGACTGTCCGTTCTTTGGTGGTAATCTCACTCCACATAGGTATAAGATAGATCCTCAGAAGGTACAAGCTATCTTGGTTTAGTGAACCATCTCAATCATTTTCGCCCAAAGATAGCAGATTTGACAGCCCCACTAAGAGCACTGCGCCATAAAGGTGTTGTTTTCGCATAGGTGAGATCACAACAAGAAGCATTTGAACCAATCAAGAAAGAAATCACAATGGCACCAGTACGTGCATATTTTGATACATGAAAGACAAGTGCCGTCCAGTCAGATGCATCCAAGAAAGGCTTAGGTGCAGTTTTGTTTCAAGATGGCAAACCAGTTGTCTATGCATCAAGAAGCCTCACTGAGACAGAGCAACGGTATTCAAAGAGAGAGAGAGAGAGCTGTTGAGTGTTGTCTTTGCCCTTGAAAGATTTCATCACTACTTGTATGGCTATACAGTGACTGTTCGTACATTGAATACCTGAAGGGGAAGGAGAACGTCATAGCCAATGCACTTTCCAGAGTTTCACCTCAGCCAGTACATGAAAGCAAGGTAGACAGAGACGTCATCCCTGTACATATGTTTACTGAAGAAATCCATGCCGATACAGAAAGTATAGCAGACTTCCAAAATACAACTGCAGATGACATGATTTCTGGTCTACTGATGCAAGCTGTCATAAATGGATGGCCTGATGAAAGTTAGACAATGAAAAGTGATAATTTCGCATCTCCCCCCTTTAAAAAAAGTTAGCGAAAGTCAGCTGCTGACTTTGGCTTTGTCCAATCTAGGAACTTCTGTAAGAGAATTTGCGGATCTTTCTTCTGCCCCGCTGAAAGATTTAGCGACTTTATGTGTGTTCTTCTGACTTTTCCAGCCCAAATTAACACATAACTTGCTTTGATCTCCTTTGATTTTGACGCTGAAGGGTCATAGAAAGAGCTTGCATTCCTCAACCCAGTCTTGGCACTTCTGATAACAGTCAGGGCAGGGTAAAAATCTGCTCGTGGCACTTGAAAATAGGATAACTCTGTCATCCTACAAAAACTAGGATGTTTAAATCCAAACCACACAATTCAAAGAAATCGATGGGCAACTTCTCCCAAGGTCCTTGGGGAACTCCATGTGGCATCAACTGTTGGCTCTATTCCTGTTGGCTGTATTCCTTTTATATCTTAGAATTTCTGGGACTTGTTAGAAAACGTAGCCCTTTTTTCACCTTGGATTTTGTGGGAACTGTTAGGAATCTTACACCCATTTTTTATCTACAAGTAGAATTCTTCAGAATTTTTGGGAATTTCAAGTCAGCACAATGGAACGTTTTCCTAGGAGTTCAAGATACAATTGACCTTGAACATTTACACCTTGTATAAACAATTACGAATTCAAAGTTATTTTGCAATGGTATATACCTTGTTCATCATGCAGTGAAACTGCTCTTGACTTGCGGAAATTAAGCTGGGATGCCTCGGTTATGGCCTAAAGGGAAGACAAGTCCAAAGAACAAGAGAGTCACTGCAAATCCCAATCTTAAATCCCAATTCAAATCATTATATTAAAAAACTTCATATAAAAGAAAATTTCACGAATATCTTTAAAAAAATGGTAAATGACAAGAATTCATTCTATCAACCTCAATCCATGCATCTCTTTCCTTTTCCACTGCGTTATCACCAACATTGTTCAAATTCAAGACACGAAAGCTGAAAAAAATTAGAAAGCAAGAAATAAGCATCAACTAGAATTTCATAAAAATAAAATGTTCAAAAGATGGTTTGAGTTCTTAACTTGACAAATCACAAATTGCAAGCTACTCGCAGAAAAATCGCACAAACCACTGAGTGATATGAGCCCTAGTTCTCAGACAGTAAATGTTCCCTTTTTGGAAGATGGATCAAATTTCCCTGGGTAACAGTCATCACCAGAGAAACTGGAAACAATGGTTATGCAACATTTTGCAAACAGAAGGTATTACAAGAAAAAAAAAGGGGGTATTATGAGCAACCTGAAAAATAGCACAACTTCATTTGCGTAATCAGCGAATGAGAAGCCAGTGGGTATTCTCATTGACTATATAAAAAATCTACTCCAGGGGGATTGTGTTTATGAGCGGATTGGCTAAACATTCTCTAAACTTTTTTCACATTGACAAAATGTTAGTTATGTTGGACAACATGGCTATTTACTGTAAAAGTAATTTATCGAAATTAAGAATTAAACTGAATTTGTCTTTTAAGCTCTCATATCTGAGTTCAAAATTCGCACTAACCCTGGGTTATCTCAAACCAGCTTTGAACAAACATGTGCACGATGCTTGTGACAATTTACCTTTTCTAGAGGGAACATTGAACTTCCAATGCTAATAAACTATTTATCCCCCCACAAATCCATTAGGTCTTAACATTAGTGATTCATACTTTCCAAGCAACAACATTTTCTCAATAAATTGAGTATATAATGGCACATTGCATGTCCTTTACAACCACTGGAAGCCATTCCAATGCATAGTCTTATTATATAATTAATTTTTATAAATTGTGCAAAAGTGACCAATAAAATAATATTGCACAAAAAAATTTCCGACATTATATTTACTGTACCTGTATTCCTTTTTGCTTGTGATAATAACAAAGGAATTATAATCTATGCTTTTCACTTCAGCTAAGCCAGGTCCAAGTTTGACAATGTTTAGTGCTGTCTGCAAAAAAGACAAAGAATCTTTAGTAACTTTCTTAACTATTATTATAAAAACTGAAATGGAATTGTCAATATATTTTATTTGCCTGTTTTTCTAGCAAGCATAACCTCTTTTAAGGCACTCTGATCCTGGGTACATTTAGTTCAAAGCTCAATCGCCACAGTATGTTCACTCACGCACTGAGTTAGTACGTACAGGAATTTGTTATTCATCAGATTACTATTTGGGCTTAAAATTATCTAAAGCTGGTCAAAGTGATACTGTACATCCAGTATCCTTATTACCAAGGCATTGGTTGTTTGTTTGTGAACTGTTGCTCAACATTGCAGATATCTTATTATCCACTCCCCACAGGGCTTTTCAGGGATAATTTACAACACTGGTTGGGGGACTTTGCCAGACTGCTTAAGGTGCAGTTTACAAGTACTGAAGGAATGAGTGATGATGCCCCCATACATGAATGTGAAAGTGAGATAGACCACTACACCGGGCACTACGTGCCCTACTCTTTACGAAGAGTGTGTGGGTTCTTTAACGTCCCACAGATTTATTACATGTGCAAGGGCTTGTGAGATGGGGCCTACAGTTTATCGTCCTTATCCGAGAAGACTAGAAAGTCTAACCATTTGCAGATGTTACTACAAAGGCAGCACTTTCTCCTCAGTTATTTAAAGACCCTGAGTGTTGGTCCGGCCGGGTTTGAACCTACGGCCTCGCGCTCAGTAGACCGGCAATCTCCCAACTGAGCTAACCGGGCGGCAACATTTTACAGATACTGTAGGTGGCTGACAGATATCGAGGGAAATCACACTTATCTTTACCTGATTTTCTTCTCCAAGTTTGAAATATGACAGTTCCCCCTGCTGGACTCTTAACCAACGTCTGATAAAATATAATAAGTCAATTCATAACTTTCATTTTGATTTAGTCTATTTCCCTACATAAAATTCTTTCTAAAATTTACACTGTCTATAGGCCTGTGCAACTGTGACAGTAATACAAGGAACATTTAGCAAAAAATTGCTTCAAAACTTGCCTCTTACATATAGGAGGAGAGGAAACATTACTGGACAAGATAGTTTATTCTAGCCTTTTGCAACCATAATATACATACCCAGGGATGGAGTACTCTGACTCCTGATTTTACTCGATTCTGGATTTTCACCTTGCGCATGCACTGAAGGCTCACGATCACGCCATCACTTGTAGTTTAATTTCTGTTTTCTAATATTAAAGCAATTTTGAAACAGCATCTGGCACCATTTCAATGCTTGCATTTGAACATATTATTGGTGATGAGGATAAAGCACCACCAGAAAGATAAAGTGACAAACAAAAGCGAGACAATAGCCCAGCAAATGTGGCGATACTTCAATGTTAACCTGAGCCAAAACTTACAAACAGCGATGCCAGACACAGAGCAGAATAAAGTGGCGGTGGCCACAGAGCTTGTTAGAATTATCACAGAGAACAAAAACCTAAAAGCAAAACCATTTTTACAAGGGGGACGACCAACTGACAACAAGAAAAGCATGGGAAGAATGGTTGGAGGAAATGGAGGGAGAATTCTGCTTTTTTACAAATAACAGAACCACTTCTCATTTATGGCCGGAAAGAAATAGCGCAACTTAACAAAAGTCACCGAAATCCGACTGGTGAATTTCTATGCCAAGTTCAGCATGAAGCTAGAGATGGTAGCTGTTGCTCAGAAACCTAGACCAGTTGCTTATTATCTATAAGAACCGCTCAAGAAATGGTTGGTGTAGTGTATTGAGGAAGAGATTTCTGAAGAACTACCTGAAAGAGAACCAGTAACGTGGTGAACATTCTCTTCTCGTACTTCAGTCAAAGCCCCAGCTCTGTGAGATAGCTAAGGAAAACCTAGAGCCACACATGTTAAGAGCCAGCCTATGGACCTCAGAGTACCCAACCAGTACATAAAGAGGCACAGGATAACCCAAGGAACTGTGGTAGAGGACTTTATGTACAAGTTGCATGATTATGTCATCTTCTCCAGTCCAAGTTAGACATGAAGCAGGGTTACCACCATCTCTTACTGGACCCAGATCCAAGAAAAATTGCCAGCACGCCATTGGGAAACCTAAGACCAAGCTCTTTGTGGTAGACGACCGGATTTTCTGAGCAAACAGGATCATTACACCCACAAGCCTCCAGAGAAAGGTGATCATAGCAGTTCATCATCTGGGACATCTTGGAACGACCAAAATAAAACAAATGCTGAGAGAGACGTATTGGTTACCCTCAATGAACAGAATGGTAAACCAAATCATTGGCCAGTGCTATGAGTACCAATTGACCACTAAACAACACCAACAAGAACCAGGTTAAGTTACGGACATTCCAAAGAAACTATGGGACATCAAAGCTGTAGACTTTTAGGGGCCTTACCCTGATGTACAGTACAACATGGTAGCTGTAGACAAAAGGACAAGATACCCAGAAGTAGCAAAAACACACTCAACAGCACAACCTACAATGGAGAAGCTCAAAACCATGTTTGCAACACATGGAACACCAAGGCTCCAACTAGAAAGTGACAATGCACCTCCTTTTAACTCTAACGAATTTGCTGAGTTTGCCATCACAGAGGGATTCCATAACCACTGTGTCACCCCAAAACATGCATGTACCAATGGAGAAGCTGAAAGTTTCATGAAGTGTGTTCAATAGGAGTGAGCAGATCACCCATCTTCAAGGACAAAATAGCAACACCGCTACCCAAGAAATGTTGGCAGGCTATCGCTCCACTCCACATCCAGCAACAGGAGTAACCCTTTACAAAGCCCTCATGAACAGACAAGTAAGAACCAAGCGAGATGCACAATACAAACAACCAAAAGATCAAATTGAATGCTTAAGATAAGAACACTAAGGAGCACACCTTAATCATTGGAGATCATGTACTAATGAAACGAAAGAAGACAAACAAATGGTCAAAAGCCTTTGAGCCAGCATTGTACATTGTAACCTTGGTGGACGGTTCAAGCATAGCGCCATTGTACAGTGTACAAGGAGAATAACCGATGGCAGAGATGTGTACCAAGATGCAAGTCCATTTAAACTTGCCAACGCACTGCTAGAGAATGACCCCACCCAAGAGATCAGAGACCAAGGAACAGAATGAGATCATGCAGATTGGAGACAGGACATCTTCATAAACAAAGGAAATCGCAAATTAGTTGCATCCTTTTTTCAGAGGGAGTGAAGCAACGACCGGAAATACATCTGCAGTTTGCAGGCTCTGCTTCCCACTGATTGGTGGAAATCTGACAGCTCAGTTGATGGGAAGCCACAGGAGAATTGTAGGCAGAATTCAAATTCCAGAGACGTAGTTGCAAGCCCTCCTCCATTTCACACCCCGCCGCCAGAGCAACCTAGAGGGCTTGGCTTAATGCCCATCGGGCAAGTAAGGTTACTTACCCAACAAGAAAATGTACTAGTCTGAGACTACCAGGGTATCAACTTTTGGTCAGGTGTTAAATAGGGTACGGAAAATCACATCTTTTGGTCTGAAAAAAGGGGAAAGCTTGCAAGAATTATGGTAAATACCCCCACATTATTATTATTGTCCAGGATTACTCATCCCTGGACTAACCAGCATTGTATTTCACACTTTCAGGGCTCTCATTAATAGCCAGAAGCCAGCAACCAGCTTTTTAAACCCGCTACTGTAGTAAAACCAGCCAGATACTCTAAGTTTGAAAATGAGTCAAATTTAAGAAACATACACAGGTCTACTTTTCCTTAGAGATGAGCTACTTAAAACCATAATGACAGTCAGCCCTGTACTTTTGACAAACTTTTAACTATAACAGTACTTTCCAGATTTTTTTCAATTACCTTGGCCACATCATAAATGCTGCACTATGGCCTTTCTTCTCAATTTGCCCTTCTTTGATGATCCTCGCAGTGTCAAGTGATGGTGCAACAAATTCTCCTAAAACATGGAATCAACCAAGATTAGGCTACCACTAACAACCCCCTTAGCCAAACAATTTGATATAATGAGACATTTTTCACTATTATTATAGTTATTATCATTTTTTGTAGTCAACTCCCAATACCTCAAACCCTCGCTACTGTAGTCTTTGTCTCTACTTTCTTGTCAGTCAAGTTTACATACAGTGTCCAGCCCTGTATATTTTTCAAGCTTTGTTGCTTTAATTCCTTTTACAAAATATCAATAATATATATCTTGCTGCCCTTGAAGAGAAGTGTACATGATAGTTGTATTCCTTTCCCTTCATTATTTCCTTATTTCTGGCAACATTGTATGCGCTTTGGACTCCCCATAACTCTAACTCCTGATAACTCAAACTTTTTATTTACCCAGAAGGTTTGAGTTACCAGGAGTCAACTGTATTATTATTGTTGTTGTTATTATTACTAATATTATTGTTATTAACAACTATTTCTATTATTACTATATTAGACATCCACTGGGACCTCGTTTGGATTTTTATAAGTTTTATAGTGCTTCTAAAATCTGAAAATTAACAATAAAACTGTTTTTGGTAATAATAACTTAATATTATCATTATTATTATTACTAGCATTATTATTATGTGCCATTTTGAACTGCTGGGGAAAGAAATGGGCTTACCATCTGGTTGATCTCCTTGGTTCTGCTGTACAATGGATTCCAGCAAATGACAAATCTGTTATCAAAAATGAAAAAAACTGTTTAGCTCAGAGCAACACAGAACAATATTAATTTAATACTGCCTAACAAGAACTAAGCAGTTTAAGTTTATTGGAAACATTCATTAATCAGAAAGAAAGAAGATAATTCCTTATTAATCTTTATTGTTTCTACGTCCAGGCAAATATTAACCCTCTCCGTCCAAGACCAAATTAATTCTGGCAAAATTACTGATAAATTTACTTATCACTCTACACTTTCAATCAATAGATGAAGATGTTACCAGACATAAGAACCTCTCTCCTGTCTCTCTCACAAAATGGTTCCAAGCCACGATTTACTTTTTGGGATTTTAACAAAAAACAGAAATATTCAATGGCCACAACACGGCAGGCCTACAAATAACTGTCAGTCATCAGACAATATTCAACTAAAAAGTGCTCATGCCAATGAACTCCTAACTACAGTTAGACACAAACACTGGATGGATCAAACACTAGAGACATTTGTAGCTGAAGATTTGCACAGATATCAAAAAAATTAAGAGTCAACGTAATGTACATCCAACAACTTTTCTGGTTTGTCTAACGAGAACGGTGACCCAGTGATTTTTACATTGACAAATCAAGTGCACCACAGGTGTGGTAGAAGTGAAATGAAGTCCCAATATACTGACCTTATTTTTCTCTTCCACACTGTCAGCATCAAGTTCGTAGTCGCTATCAAAGTAAATGTAAAACCGTACACCATCCTAAAATTCAAACCAAATTAAGAAATTTATACCAGTCCTGTAGTGAGATACTGGGTATTTACTATTTACATGTACACAAACCACCCAGGTGGAAATCTTGTTCATAAACATAAAACTACAAATTTTGACTCGGTGGGAGAACAACCCACTACAAAATCAACAGGCTTGAAAGAGTAGAAATTTTTCATCGCCTCAAATCACAGGCTATATTTTCTGAGGCTTCCCAAATTGAATGGTGCAAATCATTTGATTTTCCAACTGGAAATTTTGATTTTCTCACTGATTTCTCATAGGCCCTGCCTTTTGTGAAGGGATATTGAAACAGATGAAGAGCTTGGATGTTAATCAAGAGACACCACAGAAAGGTAACCTTTATAGTTATGTTTACTGAAAGTCAACTGAGAAGAAGAAAGATA